GTGCAGCCTTACTTCCCCATGTATTTCATTATAACAATATACTCCTCACGGTAGTTAATGTGGAAGAAATACACTTTCAATCCCTTTCATTTCATGAACTTATACTTAAAGGGAATATACATCATTTGCTTTTGCTGTAATTTTCAGAAATGGATGGAATTGGGGGGTTGGAAATATATAGCAAATATAGTTATAATGACTTTTTTGAGGTTTTAATGCTATAAAAACCAAGAAAAACAATCATTTTCCTGTAGTCTGGTTCCCTGAATCCATATAAGAAGAAACAGAGCAGTTTACATACATTGGGGAATTGTAAGGTCAGGGAACCAGTCTAGCTGGCTTGTACCCGTTCATAGGTTTGTAATCGATTGCAAACAAGTGCGATGGTCAATTGGGGCCAGTATTAGAAAAAAAGCCAGTTTTTTTCCAACGCTGATCGGCCGATCAGCGTTGGAAATTGATACAAAAATACCACTTCTCTTGAAAATGACAGTATACCAGGTGCCATGATTTTACAGGATGCTTTACACTGTCATTCACTAACAGTCCAGCAAGGTATTTCAAAATGATTCGGTAGTTTTATTTTTTGATGTTTGCAAATGTTGTATTTTCCCTTTAAATACAAGAAACGATTAAATGAAAATATACATGTAAAAGTATATTGTGCTCTTTACGGTTCAGATTTTTCAATCAGCGATGGATGAATTGGCGTCGGGACTCGAGTGTTTTATTCAATCAAACGATTATGTCGATATTAACACACCATATTGTGAGCCCGTTAAATATGTAGACATATAAATGCAGCTGTTTCTTTGAATCAAGAAGAAATACCATATATTGATTGTAAGGTTAGTTTAATTGTACGCATTTTATTAGATTTTGTCCACACAAACGGCCAGCGATTCCAATTTCGAAAAGGAAATGGTGGCACACTATTATGTGTACACATGTACATGAACAGAGACAGTAACCGAAAGTACACGTGCATGAGAGAGATGGCAGTCTATTCACATTCAGAGTGGAATTTTCCATTCTGTGGTACGCATTGCTCAACGATTGAACCAGAGCCTGGAGGCTTTACATGGTTCAATCAATAATGGGAGGGGGTCCCCTACAATGATTGTAGTTGGCCCCGTCTGAATTGGGGATAGGGGAGGGGTGGGGATGACCCCGGTGTGGGTACTGGTGGTGTAGCTAGGGTCCAATTTGCAGGGGGGGGGGATTGGGGGTCCTAATTTTTTGGGTAGGGGAAGGGGTCTGAATAATAGTTTGAAACAAAACACAACTTTAGACCCCCACCCCAAATTGTTGGGGGCACGTCTTGAGCAGGCCGGGAAGGGGTTGTGGGCAGGGGTTCCCTTTCAATGTGCTCACGGGTGCAATTACGCTTAGGCACAAGGGTCCGGATATACAATGTGGCCTGCATGGGAATTTTGATTAGAGGCAGTTTTTCAAACTGCGTTTCTGTTCAAGCATTGAAGATGAACTGCAAACGCGTTTCATACGACATTCACTTTTGTTGTCCCTGAACTCAAAAGTTAATTGAGGAATTTTAATTTCCATGTGCGTCCATTTGTCCATGGTACACGGCGATGTCGAGAAGTGCTGAAGAACACGCTTTAAAGGTCACATTACCCCTCACATGACAAAAGTCTGTTAAGTTAGAGTTTAAGTTATCTTTTTAAACAGTTCAACCAGTAAAGCCAACAACGGACTCCAAAATGAAGTTCAGTTTGCTTCTTACAAATCCTCACTTTTGATGGCGGTGCTGCAGCGACAAGTTGAGGATGATTTAAAAAAAAAAAAATCCTGTCACTGTGTCAGCTTTGTAATTATTTTGTCTGCCGTTTGTTCTTTGTCTGACAATTTTTTTCTATTGATAATGGTGATGATTAAAGGTGACGCCGAGGTTCTATAATGAAAAAAGGTGTTTTGCTTGATTGCTGATGAAATAAATTCAATCACGCTTTGTTGTTTTGCATGCGCGATATTTAAAATGTGAAATGTGTTCCTCCAACTCTCCAAAGAGAGTGGCCAATTCTTCACACGGAAATTAACACATGTACAAAACAATCACGAATATAGAGGAGCCTGTTATTTTCTTTAAAAAAAAATATCCCACACCCTGCCTGAACCCTTGCAAATCTCACAAAAAAAATGACAGAATTGGGCTGTAGAGTGACAAGTGGACTTTATTGATAAAAGTTCTACAGAAAAGGTAGGGTTAGGGTACTTTTGTTTGCGAAATTTCTCTTGGAAATATTCCAAAGTTCACCAGGAGAAAAATCTTTGGGGCTTTGGTCGTAAAATGATCATGATTCAAAATAGACCAGCACATCGAACAACTATCGAGCCGGTCCTCCACTATAAAGTTTGTATTAAAAAAACATCTGGTATGCCCGTAGTCCGAGGTCATGACACCAGCCTATATAGACACTGTGATGGTAAATCTTTGAGATTTGTATGGATATCATTTAAGACATACTTTACCAGGGAAGACAAAATGCACACATTTTCCTCCGTCTCCTTCCCACAGCGCTTTGTACTATTGCACAAAATCATTTTAAGGCCTACAAATGTAATATTTTAACATTTGAGTCGAAATCTCAAACATAGTTTTAAAAAATCCTTCCAAGCTTAAACTTAGCTGTTAAAGTACAGTGAAGTGAGAATATTAATATCTTATATATACCCTATGGACATGATGGATATTTATGAAGTTGTAGTAAATATATATATTTGGCTATCGTCTGGGCCTAAGCACTTGGTCTGCTACTCTGCATGCTTCGCACATTGTGCATGCCAGATTTCACCACATTCAAACGTCATCTTTAATCACATCAGCATTTATAGCACTGTCAGTACACAATAACACGTTATTAGAAATGCAAAATATGCAACATGATTTTTTTTTACAGGCTCAATATCTTTGAAGGTGATAAAATTTGATCCGCTTGACACGAGAGAAAGAAACATCCACTGTCGATCACTACATCTTAATTATATTAATAATATACAGGAGGATGATACACCGGGTGTGGTGTGGACAATGACATCTACACAGAACACACGACACGGGATGAGCCGGCCACGTACCGGGCCGTACGGAGGCAGTGAGCCATGCTGCCGCTGCTGCTGACACAAACAAAAATGGCCGTTCAACAACCCACAAACTTACCTTGACAATCTCTGTATATTTATACATAAATACAGTCGTTGTGCTGGCCAGAATGCAGGCAGAAATGGTCCAGTACAAGTGCAAGTTAGGTTGACTCCTCAAATACTGATTAATAATCCACTATCTGATGTTATCTCTTTCGCAAACATGGCTTCGAGGGCAAGGGGAAATACCTTGCGCGCACGCTACTACGTACATGTACTATGTACGTACGTCGAATACTATACATATGCGCAAATGCAATGCGCAGTTTCATTCATGAGGATGTCGCAACTCGCAAAGCGAATAGTGCAAAATCCCACGCCTGAGCGGTTTCATTGAATACATTTTTTGGTTTACAAAACAGTCAAGATACAAATAGGATAAACGGTGGGTCAGACCATAGAGCAAGGAACTTGCTCTGGGGTACCATGGAGCATGCATGAAGCAATATTTTCGTATTCCTCCATGGTCACACCACAGGGGCGTCAATTGCTTCTCAAAAGTGGGGGGGGGGGGGGGGGGGGGGGGGGGGGGGGGGGGGGGGGGGGGGGAGGACAGGGCCCCCTTGATCAGAACTCATGCAAGCGCGAAGAGCGAAGCCCTTACGGCGTGGGGTTCGGGGCCCGCTTAAGGGGCCCGAGACAAATTGGATTCTAGATGTTCTGTGGTGTGATCTGAGGCAATTTCTTACCCGACTTTCCTCCATACTTTAACTAATATTTTCTTGGCAACAGATAATTATTTGAACTTCGTTTTCGAGGTTGGAGTCATTGAATCAGCTACCGGTATTCTGGGCTATAGGCGTGTTGTTCGGAGCCCTGAAACAAAATTCTACATGCTTTGTGGTGCGATCTGAGGCAATTTCTGACCACTTTAACCAATATTTTCTAAGCAAAAAATACATTGTAGTACACATTAATAGGGCCCTGTAATGAGACATGAGTTCAAAAATAGGGGGGGGGGGGACATTTGATATTGTGTCCTCCATCCACCCTTCAAAAGGTGGGGGGGGGGGGGGACATGTCCCCCCAGGATTGACGCCCATGGTCACATATTTTCCTACGATTCACATCATTTGTAGTCTAAACTAACTCGCGGGTTCAAATTGTAAAATCTTGGTTTCCTTACATCCAGTGATCCATGTAATTTACTGAAAATTCTTGTCTGTAGCATTCCTCTTGTTTCAGTCTTTTTTTAGTTGAAACTCAAAGCTCACTTTCTAGAGATGAATGAACTTTCCATTTATAAGGAGAGCAAGCAAGGAATCTATTGGAAAACAATTGGCGAAAACCAAGCCTCCGGCCCATTACAAAATAAAATAATTTTACAAATGTATCATTGCTCCTTATATCGTCGCTTTGCTCACGAAGTGACAATGGCAGAATAAGTAGCCTATGCGATGATGTAGCTCCGCTTAGAAATTTTTACTAGGCAATGGCAAGGGCGGATCCAGAACACAATTTTGGGGGGAGGGGGCCAAAAAAGTGTGTCCAAAAAATTACAGCATGGGGTTCGGGGCCCGCTAAAGGGCCCCAATTTTTTTTGGATTCTAGATGCTCTGTGGTGCGTTCTGATCGAGGCAATTTCTGACCACTTTAACCAATGTTTTTTTTGGAAAAGATGGTGGTTTACTCATTGGCTGCCTTTACTGCGAAGTCATTTTTTTGGGGGGAGGGGTGGCCCCTTTGGCCCCTTGGATTTGCCCTTTGGGCAGTGGATATATATTTTTTTATTTCATACATGTAACAGCCGTTACAGTTTAGTTGGTACACATTCGACCCACTATTGGTAACACATACAAATTGTCGGATACCATCCACACGTGTGCTATACACATAAAATATACACTGTAGAAGCAGTCACGCGCAGCAGCAAGGGAGAGCCAAATGTAAACATCAATGCTACGTAAAATCAAAGTCCACTTTTCTAACAATACTGTGAAAATGGAGATCATGGGGACGGATCCTGAGTTACGAGGCAGACCGAGTAGTTACGATGAATCCCTTGATAGGATCCATCCTGGTCGTAGATCCTCGGAGTCGGACGATGAAGACGCAACACGACCCATCGACTTCACCGGAAGTACTCGGTACAGCATGACAGAGAGTGAACGCGTTGACGTTTGTGGTAAGCGCAGCATACGTACAGTAACAACATTCACTTGATCCCGGCCATCATCATCAGCCCCCCCCCCCCACCCCCCCCCCCCCCCCACCGGCCGAATTTTCCATTGCCTGTCTGATTTTTTTATGGAAAAGAATGTATTGTTACATCCCGACGCCACTGTTTTCATTATATACTATCTCAATGAAGGTCAGTCATTGAAAAAATGTTGAAAAGACTTGAATCTGGTAGGCCTACTGAGAAACATTTCAAATTAAAAAACAAATGCTTAAATACTTTTAAATGCACTCAACTCTCCATAGACTTTGTACACAACCAACGAAGTGGCGTCTGGATACTCAGGGTTGGACCTTAACTTTTGTTCACTGGCCAGCTGGGCTATGCTTAAACAGACTCTTAAACAGACTCTTGAAATTTATGCCCACGCCGGCCACGGGCATAAATTTCACTAGCCCGCATGTTTTTCTTTCAAAAGAGTGTATCATAAACAACAATGTGCATTTACATGTAAAACGTGTATCCTGAGGCAATCTTGTCAGTGTTTTTAATAACAGATCTAATAATTTAACCCTAAACAGTTAATAAAATTGGACAAAATTGATACAGGTTTGCTTTCTGAATTTAATGACCTGTCCTTTCATCTTTGCTGTAACCCAATAATTTTTGAATTGCCAGCCGGGCTACTTCAGGAATAGTTTGACTAGCCTGCCCCTGTTTTGACTAGCATTTGGCCAGCTGGCTTGTGATGATTCAGGAAATAGGCCTTTGCTTTAGTCCTTTCTTGTGTACTTCCTTTCGAAAAGTGCAAACAGGCAGAATGTTGCATCCTGGGGCCACTTTTTTCATTATTATCTCAATGAAGGTCAATCATTGCAAAACTGTTGAAAAGACATGAGCTCAAACAGAGCTACTGGTTAGCAGGAAACCTCAAAGAATGTTCGATCAAATAATCAATGCTGGCCGTTAAAGAACACGAAGAAATTCTGCTTTGAGACTCAGTTCTTGGTTTGTCTTGTGATTTGGTCTTTGTTTCTTTCGTCTCTTTTCTTTGGATCTTTCTTTTCTGTCTTTCTGTCTTTATGCTGCAAGAATACAATACCATTGTACATGCATTAACAATTAAGAAGTAATTAACAACAACATGAATCATTAAATGTGATCATAAACAATTGGGTATGGGTATGGTATGTGAAGAGAGATACGTTCATTGCCCGTGTTACACAAATAATCCCACGGAAAATCCCAGAAATTTCCCCTAAATGTCAACACAGATCACTTATACTTTATCACAAAAGAATCTAAATACATTATCATCTAAATTTATGTTGATCTAATTTACCCAGTCAATGATTAAAGAAAGGGATTAGATCGGATGTAATCTTGGAACATTTATGGTAAAATTGGCACAAGCAGCCATGATAGTACGGATGAACAGCGCCACCAAGTGGCGAGAGAACTTTCTGAAACAACACCATAAACATTGAAGGGTGCCCTCTCTATCTGAAAGAGTCAAATTCAACAGTTATACTCATAGATAGGTCGTGGCCAGAGTTGTAATGACTCGAGTCGATGACTCGACTCGAGTCCGACTCGAGTCACATTTTTTGGCGACTCGACTCGACTCGAGTCCCGACGGGTAAATGACTCGACTCGACTCGAGTCACTGCGAGCAAATGACTCGACTCGACTCGAGTCCCTCATCAGAATGACTCGACTCGACTCGAGGAAGGCTAATAAGACTCGAGTCCCAAAATAAAAGCAAAACTTACTTGCGAAAAATATTTGCACTGACTTACGCTGCGCCGTTCGCGTTGCCAGTTTTTGTTCACGTCACGTTAATGTTCGCGAATAATGTACGTTTATATACAGCGGCAGTCTGTTTCCTTCCTCCATAATGAAACAACAAACATACACTGTGTCGCGGACTCCCACCTTGTGGTTCTATAGCATGTAATGCTAAACCCGGAACCAGACTCAAAACGCATTTCTCAATCCGTGGTTTCATCATTGGTTTCGGGCGATTTTGAAGTTCTTGGTGGAACGCTGGCTAAATTCATGTCCCGATTTCACACACAAAAATGGATACGGACGGGCCCACCTTTAAATAATCAGAAACAGTTTTGTATAATGCAATTAGGTATTAACGTTGTCAGCGATCAGCGAACAACAAAATCTAGACCCGAAGCCAAACCAGTTATAAGACTGAAGTTTCACATCTTATCTGTGACGTGAGCTAGCAATGGAAACTGTTGGTTGGGTACCATACAGCATACTTTATGTCTTTGGATTTCCGTAATAGACTGGTGCCTTGTATTCTTTCTCTCTTGTGTTTGTTGCTTTTTATTGTAATTAAGTGTTCAAATATTTGTGACTCGAATTGACTCGAGCTAAATACTTGACTCGACTCGACTCGACTCGACCACACTCTGTGACTCGACTCGACTCGACTCGACCTTGTTGACCTAATGACTCGACTCGACTCGAGTCACTTCTTTAAAATGACTCGACTCGACTCGAGTCACAAAAATCAGTGACTCGTTACAACTCTGGTCGTGGCTGGTCAGCATTAGTTGGGTGTCGCATCACTGACATGATCGCCTCTTCCTGAAGCCATGCTGTCCATCAGATAAGATGTTATGATGGGTGAGATGGCGAATAACAGCGCAATGAAGGATATGCTCACTCACATAACTTACACATGATTGCAGGCAGCAATATTGGATGGTAGTTTGAGGCCAGTGACCAGCTGCCTTTCTTGAACAAGGCTACAACAAAATGGAACTACTCCCTGATCTATGGTAGCTTGGAACAGAAGTGTAATGGCCGGTGCAATTTCTGCAGCTGTTTTCTTCAGTAAGCATGCAGGAACTCCATCGGGACCAGCGGCTTTGTGTGGTTTTAGGTTCTTCAAAAGCTTGGTTACTCCCAGGGTGACCGTTTTAGCCAATTTTTGGCTAACTTTGACAGATTTTTTGTTGAAATCGAGTTTGACAGAAAATTTAACAGAATGGATTTTTGGGGCAGATTTCTGGTAGAATTCTGTAAAATTGGATATTTGACAGAAAAACATCGCAAATTAAAAAAAAAAAAAAATGGTACTTTTGTTTTTTGGTGCTGAGGTTCACTGGGCCTGGGAACCCGACTTTGTCGTGACGCAACCGCGTTTGGACTGAAATTTACGCAATTTCATAACATCTTTATGCGACTATAGATTGTTATTATTTATTTTGAACCTTAATTAAGGCAATACTTCAACATCTGCATATGTTTTTAATTGTTAATAATGTATTTTGAGTAATTCTGGGGAATTGGCAGATTATTGACGAATCTGACAGATTTTTGAATTGCATTTAGTAGAATTTGGCCATGACCTTACAGTCACCCTGGTTATCCCCAGAGCAGCTGACTTCAATATATTGTCCATAGAAGGGTGAGGGCTGGAGCCCAAGTCTGGCTAGCCTTGGTCAAGGTGCTAAATGTTATTCATCCCGGCCGCGTTGCGCAAACGATATCCTCGCTAGAGCCATGCATTATGCAGTGCATTAAAAATACAGCGCGAACAGCGACCTCATGCGGCCACCATTTCTATGCAAATTAGTTGGACCCAATATCGCACCTTGGTTCAATCGTCGGCAAAAGCTTATGTTTTTCTTTATTTTGCGCTGGATTTCTAGCGCACGACCTCGTATGCGAATACAGATAAGTGTAGGCGGGGCTAATATGTGGAGTGTCCAATCACACCTTGGTAAATCGGGACGTCATCAAATTGTTTGCAGCTAGCTATTCGCCTTTTGCGGACGTGACAGGAACCACAGTTTTTGTGCATTGGTGCCGTGTGCAGAGACACATAACGTGTACGTGTACATGTATGGATTATGTACGATGCCACGTTTTACTAAGCAAGTTTCCCCGCAACGATCGACCAATAAGAAAACGACATTTAAGGTCAGCTAAGGCTATTAACATAATGAGCACCACACCCAAAACCTCACATGGACGATTGAACCAAGGCGCTATATTGGGTCCAACTGATTTGCATAAAATAGTCGCCGTGTGAGGTCGCTGTTTGCGCTGTATTTTTAATGCACTGTACTGCATGCATAGCGCATAGACATTATGACTGCATGCATTACCCCGCTACGGCTGGATAAAAATAAACTAGCGCCTTGACCAAGGCTAAAGTCTGGCAGGTCTGCAGAACCTTCACAGGTGAACACTGAGCAGAATCGCTTGTTCACCAAGCTTCTGGTTACCACCGGGCTCAGAACAAATGATATTTGTGATGTATCGGTTGTAGGCTTTACGACATGTCTGCTGTGACTCCTTCTTTAGGCATCTGAAGCAAAGCCAATCACACTCTTTATTAGTACGCCTGGCTTTCTTGGAAGCATGTGACTCCCTGCTTGACACTCTCTTTGTTGACACTCACTTCTCTTTGCCCCCTCTGCACCCCCTGGATCCACCACTGCACAACGCTTCTAAAGGGACTTCTGCATTTCCTTGAGGACGAGCAAAAATTAACTCTATCAAACATGAACATTAATTAAAACAACTTTGTTAACCCTAACATTCCCATATCCTCCAAAATCCTCTTTGCAAAATGGAGGATTTTGCAGGATTAAGGTTTTATGGCAAAAATGTGTGGCTGATTTTGCAGGATGCACTGTGTCAAGGTCTTGGGCTGGACTTTGTGTTGTTTATGCTCAGCTGGGCATAAAGTTAGGCATAGCCCTACTATGGTAGATTATACTTGAAATCTTGTGCGCTGTTCCAGTATGTCACTGGCTCTGCTGCAACATATTATTGACAGTGATTGCTAGAGGATTTTGCAGGATTGAGGCAGTGGTCACCCCTCCAAGGACCTCATTCAAGAAATAACGAAGCAGTTTGCAGGATTAAGGCCGTATGCAATTTTTACATGGAGGCAGTTGGAGGATTTTGCAGGATTTAGGTTGCATCCGAGCAAAAATACCAATGGGGCTAGGGTTAACCAAGGCCTATCTCATGTATACACCCCTCCCCCCCCCCAATACTTATGTGTCCATTGACCAAGGTGATAATTTGTTTTCTTCCCCAGACTCTACTGCCCTCCTTCAAGCTGTAGTGTTTGTTGAAGATGCTGTCAAGTATCGAAGTATAAACCACAAGACTGACAGGGTGTCCCTGTGGTACTACAGAGTCTACTATTCCCGACTTGTGCAATGGTAACTTTCCAGTCTTGTATTGCCAAAAAATATTATTTGACTTATTAAATTTGATCTCATAATAGTTCCTGTACCGCGGCTGCCTCAAACCGCCCTGCCTGTTACCCCTTGATACTGCCTCAAACCATCCCAGCACTCCATGGTCTGATGGATTCATCCAGGAGTGGGCCTAATAAATTTAGTGTAGGATAATGAAATACAGGTGTTAATGAATTAAAATTACTATACCTCATACATATTCATGATCGAGATCCGAACTCTCACTGGTCAATTCACCATCACGTGCCAGATGTTATTTTTGCTGTATACCAAGCGCGCGCGAGGATTCACGCACAGGGTAAATACGCATGCGTAGTAGACTGTCGCACGGGCTACCCGTGCGACAGTCTACTACGCATGCGCTTTACAAAGCAATCGTGGAACTGTCGCACAGATGTAGTACGCACGCGCAAACATCGCCCAAACGAGCTACACACGTACGAAGAGATGGTTGCACGGCGCATTATTTTCCCGAGCTCAATGATGCCGAACTAGAGAATATTTATGGACAAAAGAGATGCCTCCTGTACAAAAGAATGTTGTACACAAACTACTGTATAAATTTACAGCTGCACTGTATTATAAACGAACTGAACTAGTGAATTTGAGCAATACGATTCTAGTGGTGAACTGGACAAGTTTTTCAAAGAACGCCATACTGCAACGAAAAAACCCACAAATCAGCACTGAATATGTATTAGGTATAGTAAAACAAATATAACATGGTTTATTTCGGGTGGACAGCTGATATTAAGTCCCCTTGGTGTTGGAAGTTGACAAACTAGTTCGCCTCCGGAACTAGTTTGTCAATTTCCAACACCTCGGGGAGCTAATATCGGACTGTCCACCCTCAAACCATGTTATATTTGTATAATGACCTCACGTATCAAATAAACTGACATTTTCCGAATAACACTACTGGAAAAAGAGAAAAAATATTAAACCTATATTTTGGCTGTAGGTGGTAGGCTACCGGTACATATCTGTTAACAACAAAACTGTTTTCATTGTTTCCTGAAAAAAAGTGCCATCTTAGTGGGGGGGGGGGGGGGGGGGGGAAGCGCTCGGCTCCTTTATTTTCCAAAAAGGCCAGACGAGAAACTACTAATTTCTTTTTATTCAGCCTAATAGGAAGTGCGGTTTCAGGCACTACAAGGACTATTAAAGGTGAAAAGCTTTTTTTTAAAGTTCACAGGTGGCAAAAATTAGAAACAGTATTATTTTAGATAAAATAAAACTTACACATTTAAAGTTTAATGGGAGAAAAAAAACGTTTGTTCAAGGTAGAGTAAATCATTTGCAGCCATTGAAAAAGTAACTGATGAAATAAAAAGAAAGCCATTTCAAAAGATGCATCAAGTGATGCATTTTTGGACATATCTATTTGTAATTTGTTTGTTATTCTGAATCCGCGAATGGGTGCGCGCAAGCGTTGACGGTTGCTACACACGTTGACGACACACGTGCTCGGTTGCTAAATTTTGTCGGTTCAGTGCGCGACATCGTGTAGCTGCAATCAGCTGAATGAGAACGTGTCTCGGATGCTGATATCGGGCGCAATTCAAAACGTGATTCGGCAACTTTTGAATTGAAATCGAGATCCTAGAATATTGTTTTCTCGGAATATACAATTTCACCAGGTTAGTTGTCATTCTGATTTTGAGCACTTTTGTTGCTTCAAACAGAAAAAAATGAACAAATGACAAATGATCTTCTCTACCTTTAAAGAACACCGAGGGAACAGATTTTCATATCAAGTTATCTCTCCTCAAGTTTGTTCCCTCCAATTTTAAATAATCCATTTTCTTGAATATTTACTCATGTTGCGTCAACCTCTCAATCTAGGATCCTCAATCTTGCCATCGCCACCATCCTCATCGTGGCGTTCTTTGAATACCCGTCCTCGCTGACGACCGGCAACTCCTCCGACCCGCGGTATCGCGGAGAGCACAGGAATCCCCCATGTGGCGTCACAGAGGCCATTGAGTTCACGTGCTTGCTTATCTTCACGGCGGACCTAGTCATGAAGGTAACGTGCCTCTTTTTAATCCTTACTCTCTGATGGTAGTTTACTGCATGTCAGTTGGTTATCCCAATGCCCTCCAGCTGCAGTTAATTGGAGGATAAACTATCTTGACTGTGAAGGCTCCAATTGGCAGGAGTTGGAGGCCCTGGAGGGTGCCTGATACTGACCAGCTGGGGGCACTCACTTTGTTATCAGAGGACTCTCATTGTTCTCTGTGGCATGTATTGGAGTGCCTGTCCAGTTACCCTTGAAATGACATGGCAGATATTGGAGGGCCATGCAAAAAACATAGGAGATTTTCTTGAGGCACATATTGGCATGCGTTGGAGGGTCTAGTAGGGTAAGGGTTAATGGACCTGCTCGAAAAGAGCACCACAAAATGTCCGCCATGGGATAATATAAGTTTTACAAGACCAAGGCGAAAAGATTAGCATTATTTGACTGGATGCCAATAAAATGCCCTTTCCTCTCTGAGCGATCCCTGTTAGCTATTTCCCAGGTTTGCAGCCTTGCTAATGTTGCTAGCATCGTGATTGGGCGTGGTCCCGGGTTTATAGTTTCTGACTAGCGCCCCTTGAACAAAGACTGGGGAACCGCCAACATAAGGCTGGACAGCTTAGTTGGTGGAGCACCGGTACAGCATTCCGGAGGTTGCAGGTTCAAACGTAGTCTGGGTATCACCCGTTGTCCAATGGAACCCTCTCCGTAACCAACGTCTGATATATGTGAGCAATGCAAATGTTATGCGACCCCGCATGCCAGCCAATCGAACTTGACTTCACTTTACATATTGTGACATCATTTTGATCTGAAATGTGGACTTAACTGTCGATTGGTCAATTTGGCTGCCATGTTTTTGTATCATACAACAATGGGTTATGGAAGACCCGATAGAAGGTGCCTGCTAAATGGCCAGAATTTCAAGGTCAAGACGCAGTCTTGTTTTGCATAATTAATCACCGAATCTGCTCGTATATTATACACCCTTGCTGTGCAAGGGGATATTCCATAGACTACAGTAGTTCAAACCCGACTCCTGACAATTTCTTTGTTCAATTTTATAATAACTGAAAAAAAGAAAGGACAACTAAAACAGGCAACATTACAGGACCAAATCTCTTCACTAAAAAGTTGTACATTGTGGGAAAGCATGGCCATCAGCATCACATTGTGGTCAGGTCAGTTTAACCCCAAATTGAACTACTGATTGTAGTTCTTGTTGACTTTGGTGTTATTTGTTTGTTTTCCAAGGTTGTGAACTTTTTTGGCCTATTGAAGGGCAGCTGATAAATGGCTTTGAGATCTATAATATAACATTAACAAAAAGAAAGCAGTTGTCAATAACCAACTCTTGATACACATTGAGTGTAAAAAATGTTTAAAATGTGGTGTCATAAAATGTGTACTTTTGAATTAATTTGATGTAATATTTTAAATTTTAAATTACCTCTTTTAACTTATGAGCTTTCCAATATATTCATCTTTTAAAGTTGAGAATTAAGTTGAAATTATACATTTTACAGTGTTTATCCATTCACATGAGTTTCAAATATGAAATTCACAAAGAGTAGGGTTTCAACTTTGAAACAGTGACTGTTTGGTTTTCCTTTCTTTGTTTTTCTTTCATTCCTGTTTGTTTTTGTTTTTATGAATCACTGTTCAGTAAAACCTGCCCCAAGACAATGGAAGTTGCTGCCACGTTATATCGATTTAAAACTTAACTGCTGATTATGAGCATACAAATACTGTACATGTACAACATACAGGGTGAGTCAAAAAAAGCGGAACCCAAACCCCAAACAATATATTTCATATTTAAAAAAATATGCAGCACCAAAAATAATAATGACTGGAAAGCCAATTTCAAAAGCTACTTTTAAATGAAAAAATTACTGAAATTGCTTAATCCGTTCAAAGAATATCACCATTTAAATGCAACGACCCTAAAACCTGTCTCGTCCAAAAAAAACAATTTATTGTGTGTTTTGACTGTTTGGAACAACAAAGAAAATGACACAGAATACTTGTTTCAACAACTGTCACAAACTGTAGTACACAATATTTTGATTAACAACCTTGGTTAGGCAAACAATATGATGTATAAAATCTACCTTTTGAAAAGACGGGCCTTTAATAGGACTTTGTTGCATATTCTTAACGTTTAAACTAAATTTCATCGCTGGTGATGTTTGAAGACAATTGTGACGACGATTGTTGAAATTGCATTTTTTGGACGAGACAGGTTTTGGGGTCATTGGGTTTAAATGGTGATATTCTTTGAACGGATTGACCAATTTCAGTAATTTTTCCATCTAAAAGTAGCTTATGAAATTGGCTTTCCAGTCATTATTATTTTTTGTGCTGCATATTTGTTTAAATATGAAATATATTGTTTGGGGTTTGGGTTCCGCTTTTTTTGACTCACCCTGTAGTTTGAGGGTTATTAAAGCAGTATAACTACGCGTATACAAGTCCAAAATTGTGGCAACTTTGACTTTCTCCCAATTAAACGCTGATGAAGGCGAGAAAAATCAAATACTTCCTGCAATTGCCTGATTTCAGTCTTGTTTCAAATTTTATTGGCACCAATCATGAGTGTAGTATCTACGAATCCCAGGCACGTGATCACTGCACACTTATGAGGCCCCCTTCAATGGAAAAACCATTGTGAATGCTGTTGTACAAAGCAGCTGCAGGGTGACAAATTATGTTAACATTAGCTAGAACTGTTAGCTTGCCTGGATTTGTCTAAACCATAGAGCTATATTAAATTACTAGAGCGCTAACTCCTCATTCTGCACGCGAAGACGCTTTGAAGCCGCTCTGGGCACAGACATTTTGAATTTATGTGCGTGTTTGTAGAACACAATCAAAATAGATGGATTGAATTTTAAAAGTGTACTCTAAATGCAACGTGCAAGTAGAAGATACGCAAACAATTTAAGCGCGTCATGACGGTTAAAAAAATGGCACGGCGAAAAGCATCTGCAGCGGAGGGACGCGCACACGTTGCGCTGTTTGCGTAGAGCAAAATGAAACTCTCATTTGCTGATCGTGCGTTTCGGTTTTGGGCGTATCGGCTTCGATGACGCACTGGTATGGAATACAAACGCAGATATGCAAATAGCCGTACAAAAGCCGTACAATATTTCGAGTTCTCCATAGGTTTGTGCACAAACATGGATGCGCCCATCAGGCATTACTTTGTACATCGAGTTAGCGCTCTAGTAATTTAATATAGCTCTATGGTCTAAAACATACATTTCAGACCAAAATGTCAAGAGTCCACGTACATCCCTGCAAAGTCTTGCACTACTTTCCTGAAAGAAACCATGTTGTATTTGGTTTACGTTTTGTATAGGCCTACTTATTTGCCTGAAACTTCAATTATGCAATCAGAAGGTTATAAGACCTCACTGGCTTTTATATAGCCCTTTTTACACTTTCGATTGCAATTTTGACAGGTGTATCTGAAAGGCACCAAGCAGTTCATCCGGTCTCCCTGGCTCATAGCTTACGTGCTTGTTATCGTGACGTCACTGGCAGACTGGATTGTCACTGTCAATGGTTCCTGTGGCACGGTGAGATTTGTTGATAATGGTGGGAAAACTAGGCAATGGTGTCCAGATCTGGTGCAAAATTGGGAAAATTGGAGGCATTCTGGGAAAACGAGACAAAATTGGGCACTGGTATTTTTGTATCAATTTCCAATGCTGGTCAGCCGACCAGTGTTTGGGAAAACTTGCTTTTCTTTAACCCTTACCCTACTAGACCCTCCAACGCATGCCAATATGTGCCTCAAGAAAATCTCCTATGTTTTTTGCATGGCCCTCCAATATCTGCCATGTCATTTCAAGGGTAACTGGACAGGCACTCCAATACATGCCACAGAGAACAATGAGAGTCCTCTGATAACAAAGTGAGTGCCCCCAGCTGGTCAGTATCAGGCACCCTCCAGGGCCTCCAACTCCTGCCAATTGGAGCCTTCACTGTTAAGACAAACTATCTGCCAATAAACTGCAGCTGGAGGGCATTGGCATAACCAACTGACATGCAGTAAACTACCCTCAGAGAGTAAGGGTTAAAACAATTCCTAATTTGTCATATTAGTTATTCCGCATTTTGTTTGCAATTGATTACACACCTGTGACGGGGTAAACGCCAGCTAGACTGATTCTCTGACCTTACAATTCCCCCATGTCTATAAATTGCTCTGTTTCATATTGAGTGGGGTCAGGGAACCAGACTACAAGAACAGGATTGATTTTCTTTCTTTTTCCAGCATCTACAAACCCAAAACGTGAAACAAGTCAGTGTAACAATATTTGCCATAACATACTATTTCTCCAAATCCATTTATTTTTGAAAATTACAGCAAAAGCAAATGTTGTACATTCCCTTCAAGGAAAAACAAGTGGCATCTTTCATTTTCACGAAGACAAAACTGGAAACTTTTAAGGCATTTTTCTCAGTGTTCTCAACAAAGAGACATACCATTGTGTATAAAAATGTGCAGTCATGGCCGTGTAGATGTTGTACATGTGTTAATAAAGGAAACATGTAGTGGAAATTCAGCTCATCTTGTTTTCATGCACATTACTATGTGTTGCAACAATACATAGGCCTACAAGATCTTAATACTAGTTTTCATGGGAGGTGACAAGAAAGTGGTAATTTTTCAATTATTAGCAAATACTTTCATCAGTACATGTAAGAGGGCGCTCTTTTGCTTTTGTCACACAAGGCACTCCTGGCCAAAAGTGCGTATGAACAGTACAAAAATTAGTCCTTCAAAATTACCCACAAAAAAAAGTTGTGAAGTAATATTGGCCACTACCATTGTCCAAACAAGCTGTTTAACATGATGAACAAGTAAAATGTGGAAATTATTCCAAGAAAATGAAGAAATGTTTGATACATATTTGTACCCAAAGGTATAGCTCCGTCCTGCCTTGAATGACATCACTCTTTGGCTCATGAATATGGAAATTTTTATTAGCATAAAAATTAAAATGTTGAAATTTCTTTCTTTTACTGCTACAGAGGTGGTGGGAAAGTCATAGTAAATTGGCAAGAAAGCTATTTTAAATGTATTTAAGTCATAAAAATCCTATTACATGTTTCATTTAAGGCAGAAATTTCTGAAAACTAACGCAGTGCTCTTTTTTGGGATCCACGTTTGTATCCGACAGATGGTTCGGTTTCGTCGCCTGCTGCGTCCGTTCTTCCTTCTCCAGAACTCCACCCTCATGAAGAAAACTGTCAGGAGTATCTTCCGCACTCTCCCCAAGGTTGCTAGGTAAAAAGTCTCACAATCTGAAACCAAAAGCGAAATCCTAAGCATTTATTGTTTCGGTCTCATTTTTTTCACAGCTAATTGGAAGCCTTATTAAAACTGAAAGTGATACTAAGTTTAGCAAAGCAAATAGTTACACTGTTTATTTCAGGGACAACGCTTGCAAGAGTACGGCTCTGCCAATATAAATACCGCAAAAAAAAGAAGAAAAAAAGTCCACACTCATTGGAGGGGTTATAGTTTTGAATCATTTATATAAAGCTTTGTGTAATGTTGTTAGGTACATTTTGATACTCCGTTTGCTACCGAAGACTGTAAATCGGCCAAGATTGACAACGGTTTATGAAAAATGATGCAGTTTGAAAAGTTGCAAACTTAACGATAATGCAAGGAGAAATTGCTAAGTGCAAACACACAGGCCTGTAATTTGTCCCTATCGACTGCACAGTGCCGGAACAAAGCGCTTGTAATTCAATTTTGCGTACTCCCATGTATACAAGCACTGTGCGATCAATATTCCCTGCCGTTTGTTTTGGGCAGTGTAACATTGTCGCGCAGCAATTTCCACTTAAAAAACTTCAGCTCAAAAATTTTAGAGGAAAAAGGCCAGGAATTGCCTCAGATTGCACCAAAGAGCATATAGAATCCAAAATTTTCCGGGGCCCTTAAGCGGGCCCCAGAACCTAAGCCGTTTTTGAATACAAGCCACAATTTTAATACTGTGTGTGTGTTCAAAATTCCATAAATGGAAAAGTACACGCATACTGAAATTTGTATCCTTGTGGAGACATTTCTTTGTTCTCGTGTACTAAAGTTTTTGAGTTTGAAAGTACAGTTTCAAAATTCTCTTATTTTAACCAGAATTAATTTCCATGGCTGATATTCGGACTTAATATCCCTTTTCTAAAACTCTATCATTTGCAACTGATCAACAAACCTTAGAAATTCCTAGTTTTTGAGTAAAATCCATATATCTATTTCGTGAAAACCTTGTGGAGACGTATTCATCTATAGAAATTGCCCTGTGGAGACGTATACAATCTTTTGTTCCCTATTGCATGTCTCCAGAGGGCAGGGTGTATCAGATCATGAGTGATTAGAATGATTCTTTCACTAAAAGAAGGCTAATAAATTGGGCTTTCGCATCCTAGATCTGGAAAGTGCTACATGCAGAACTTCCTTGAAAAATAGGGGGCGCAATTTGGGTTTCCTTTTTTTTTGGACTCACCCTGAAACTAACAACTTCTTTTTCTTCTACAGCGTGCTTTTGCTACTGATGATCCACTTGTATTTCTTCACCATGGTGGGTATGCTGATCTTCCCTCAACCACAGGTAAGTATTTTTACATAGGTAAATCCAGAGGCCTATTTCATGGTACTGCTTAACAGGTTAGCAGAATTTTTTGCTTGAAAACCATATGGGCCCATGCAATGTAATTTTTTTAATGCAATCCTTGAAAACGCACCTGTGTGTCCCATTTAGCCCAACCTCGTCCCCAGGGTGTCGAGCAATACGCGCCCATCACTACCTGCTCTCTCACCCAAGACAACATGCAGTATTTCATATTAATATGAACAAATTGGAAAGGAAATGATTATTTTCGAGAAGGCGTGGACGAATGATCGCGAAAACACGTACTGCACGTTGTGAATAACAACACCAACTACACGATAAAAATCCATCACTAGCCAATTGCGGTATCGAATCAGGATACAGGAAGAAAGTTTCCTATCCAGGGCTTACTATTGGAAACGAGGTTGAAAATAAAGTAAGCACTGGGGACGAGGTTGCATTTAGCCACATTTTCAATTTAAGGTTTTGCTGTTTTCAAGGCTATTGTGATGCTTTTTGGTATTTATGCAAATGCAAATTTCCATATTCATGAGCAAATATGTGATGTCATTTTCAGGCAGAAACCTCAATGTTACAGCTATTTCAGTCCCAAAAGTTGCCTGAAATTTGGATATTTTGCTGTTGTAATTTTCTTTTTTGGGAGGGGGGGTGATTCGTTGTTGTTGTTGTACATGGCAGTAAGCCAGTGAACACATTTTTCTCAATTTTTTTTTTCAATGAACAGTTTTTTGGGTTCACAATTTGAACAGAAAACCCCTGAGCTGAACAGTGTCTTCCTGAAATGACATCACAAAAAGAAAAAAAATCATTAATTCAGGTCATTTTCTTTTTGTATGGTCTCTTATATTATTGGGCTATACCATATACCGTATGTTGTGTCAACTTTTATGACACAGATGAAGGAGCAACACTTATATTTTGATATTGAAATACCAGTGTCCGTATTATTGAAATGTTGATTGATTAAGAACAAAATTAGAATATTTTGTCTTGTGGTTTTTAGTTAACCCCCTAAAATTCCCCAAATACATCCTGGTTTTTGTCACCTCAGTGTACCCTCATTTTATCATTTATTTACTTGTAGTTGTACGTTTTATCTATCATCTGGAACAAAACCTGCTCATTGGCCAATAAAAGTCTTTTTTCAAACAGTCACAAACAAAAGAAACAAATTTTCAAAGACATATGAAGGGAGAAGACCAGTATGTTGAGTGTTTCATTTCATGCTGGGCAAACAATGTACATGTGTGCATTTATATTGATGTCTTTCGTTTATATAAAAAATGATAATTTGTCATTCTTTCCCCTGTATCATAAACTCGGCCAAGAAACAACATAGGGTACCAAGCATAGCCCAATATGCAAGAGCCCATACAGGTTGAGTCTGGATTAATGTTTTTTTTTTCCCTTCCACTCATTTGAAAAAATAAGGAATTACCAAAATGTATCCATGCTGTGAGAAGTTTTGCGTATTTTACTTAAACAATCCAGCTTTACAGCTGTCTATGAAATGCCATTTCATAAATACCTAAGACAGTTTACGCATTCCTATTGGTTGAGAGCCTGTCACGTGGCCGGTCTTAAACAGATGATAAAGACATGGCTAGCTGGTCTTAAACACTTTTCCAGTGTCACAATAAAATGTGGACTCCCATGAAATCCGGTGCCTTTTAACGTTTCATTGGTTGAACGGTCACATTCCTCACGTATGCATGCGCAATTAACTACCAGTGAATCAGTATTTCATGGTCCGAAATTCACACTACACCAGCCCAGCTGCGTTTTGCGCGACATCGCGCAGTACGTGCAACGCACATATGCCAATGTCCTTATAAGGTAACGAGTTGTGGAGGGGCATTCTATATTATAGTCAGAGGGGCGTTACGTAAAACACGAAGTAAAATTGTCGAACAAAATGGTTGGCAACGTCTAGTTTTCGACTTGTTTTGATTTTTGGACTGAAAAGATTTGTTTTTTGACCGAAAAGGTATTTATGAATGGGAATAAATATGTGTTCGGTCGGTATTAAACACTCTGTTTAAGACCGGTGGGAGTCTGGATGGGTGATAATTACCCATCCAGACTCCCAGCTGTCTTAAACAGAGTGTTATAATACCTCCCGAACACACATTTATTCCCTTAATTAAATTTAACACACCAATAAAGCATGTTTAAACGGGCATGTTCTTCCACTCATTTGAAAAAAGGAATGACCAAAATGTATCCATGCTATGAGAAGTTTTGCATATTTTACTTAAACAATCCAGCTTTACAGTTGTCCATGGAATGCCATTTGAAGCTATTGAGTTGAATGAGAACTAGAGATTACACACACATGCATTCAGATACAAATGAGACAAAACTTATAAGAATAAGTTTTGTCAAGACAAACATTTTTACTGTTAGATTTTGTGTTTTTAAATATGAAGAATTTTTTTCTCTGAAATTTGAGGTGATTTGTTCGGTATTCCTGTGCAAATTTTCATTCATTCATGTAGGCAGGAAAATGCCTTGTTTCATTGTATTTGAACGATAAATGATCATTGGTGGACAGCTGAATTTTGTGATGTCCGTATTAAAATCATAGAGCTATATTAAATTACTAGAGCGCTAACTCGTCATTCTGCGCGCAGAGACACTTTGAAGCCGTCCTGGGCGCAGACATTTTGAATTCATGTGTGTGTTTGTAGAACATACCGGGGGGGGGGGGGGGTAATAAAATTAGATGGATTGAATTTTGGAAGTGTACCGTACTCTACATGCAACCTGCAAGTAGAACATACCAAACAACTTCAGTGCGTCATTGACGGTTCAAAAAAACGTGAAGGCAAAAAGCATCTGCAGCGAATATGCTCACACGTTGCGATGCGCTGTTTGCGTAGAGCAAAATGACACGCTCATTTGCTGATCGTGCATTTCGGTTTTGGGCGTATCGGCTTCGATAACGCACCGGTATGGAATACAAACGCAAATAGCCGTACAAAAGCTACAAAATTTCAAGGTCTCCATAGGTTTGTGCACAAACATAGATGCGCCCAGCAGGTACTTTGTACACGAAGTTAGCGCTCTAGTAATTTAATATAGCTCTATGACTAGATAGACATAAATTGTGAACATACATGTAGTATGCAAATTACGTGAGATTTTCACAGTTTGTAGTCAATAGTATGTACTTTATCCCTATATTATTTTTATTAAATAAAGCGAGCCACATGTAAAAATAAAATGATTACATGTAGATCACATTCTTTTAGACTCGCCATGTAGAGACCAACCTGGGCCAAGTTCAGGCAAGGACCATTAGTCGACTAGTGGTTGATTTGTGACGTACCTTACGCCTGCGCACTGATAGCAACGTGCGAACGTCTCTAGTCAAACGCTGGTCAAAATGTCATCGCAAAACTTCTGGATCCTGGCTCTCTGCTAGCGTTATGAATGCGTGCGGCTATTGGTTACCAGCGAAGCAACCAACCCCAGTAGGCTGGTTCCAAATAGTCGACTAGCGTAGTCAACCACCGTTGACTAGACAGAGTTCGGGCAAACGTTAGTTAACCATTGGTCAACTATAGTCCTTGCGCGAACTTGGCCCTGTCTTAAACTTTTAATTTTTTTGATTTGAAATGTTAGTTTTGATTTTCATGTTCACCATTTATTTTGTGCACGTTCATGTAGAATTCCATTTGTAACCTGCTTTTTTTGCAGCATCACGTGCGGCCCAATGATGCAGCAGCCACAGTTTCATCAACAACAGGCAGGGTATTGAAAACATTATAAAAAACTATTCATAAACCAAAAAAAAAAAAAATAGTCAGTCTCTGGTCAGACCGAAGTTCCGGAATTGATGCGGCGACGCAGTTTTTTTTTTTTTTTTTTTGGTGGCTTTTTTTTTTTTCAAGCTTGTATTGTACAGACAAGGTGGGTACTATTTTGCTTTTTTGTGTCCTCATTATACATTGGTGTCCTCCATAATTTGCCTTGGTGCCCTTTTATTATCATTTGCCTTGGTGCAATTTCCCCATTCCTTGGTGCTCCTTGGTACAAAAATTTGAGGAGGCTCGGAGGCCCGGCTGTTGTAGCTTCCGTGTTAATTTGAAAAAAAAAGAAAGGTTGACGCGCATGATTAAAATCGACGCGCGCGCTGACCAGAGACCAAGTATTTTTTTTTTTTGGCTTAAGATGGAATTAGCGTCGGGTTGATGTAAATTCAATATTAGGTTTTGCCCTTCACCGACGTAATTTATAAACACTGTATACTATTAGTTATCCCACTTTCGCTCATGGAATATTGTAGTGCGTCTGTCTCCCACTTGCCACTCGGCCTCGTGGTATGCGGGACACAGAGGCACTACATTTTCCGTGTTCCATGAGCGCGAGTTGGACAACGAATGTATCTTCAAGCAAACTTGACGCACAGTAAAGATACAACACGCATGCTGTACACAAACTTTTCAACGGTTATGGCGCAGGCATCTTTATACAGACTTTTCCTCGGATCCGCTGATTTCCTCGTTTTTTACTTCTCAGGAATGCCATTACAAATTGAAAAACACTGTACAAAATCTTGTGTGCTTTGACTCTTCCTTGTTTTTTCTAAATTTCCCAGTTGCATGCCTCATCTTAAAATGGCGCATACGCGGAGTGCGGTATGGACCGGGAAACTTGACGCACAGTTTGAAGATAGAACGAGCACATAACAAACGTGTATCTAAACGCTGGTGACGATCCACATCGGATGCAAACACGCCACTTTTGAAGTCACAATTGATATTTTGCAGCACCGAAACCAAATTGCGTCGCGTAAGCTTAGAGTAGCGCAATATGTGGAGTGTGGTATGGACCGTGGCCGTGCTACATTGTTATATGTAGCACGGTTTGTTGCCATGAATCGACCAATCAGGATGGAGGATTCAAGTTTACTTGAGGATAAAGTGTTGTATACTCAAAAATTATAAAGTATTAAAAATGGTGAAGTGAAACAATTTTTGCAGTTTCCTGGAAAACGTGTATCTGAAAGGCAGCTAGACATTTACAAATTACAATACGAAATACACTCAACCAAAAAAGAAAGTCCCCCCTTCCAATACTTTTTTGTCTAACTCAAAAACTACTGAGCACCTCTCGCTCAAATAATGACTAATCAGTACAGAAATTCCTTAGCAATTCAGCCATACTCTTTTTCTTGCCCAAAACAGTGATAATGTGTACGAACTGATGCAATTTATGAAAATGATACCGAAAACAGTTGTACTTTTGTATACATGCAAGTTGTGGTTCACACTCACCTTGCACGTATACAAAAGTGCAAGTTTTTTTAGGTACCGGTAGCATTTGTCATAACTTGCATAATTTTGTACACATTATCACTGTTTTGGGCCAAACAAAGAGTATGGCTGGATTGTTAAGGAATTTCTGTACTGATCAGTCGTTATTTGAGCAAGTTGTGTCCAGTAGTTTTTGAGTTAGACAAAAAAGTATTGGAAGGGGGGAGGGACTTTCTTTTTTGGTTGAGTGTACATAGATTGTAACCGTTTGTAAATTCTCGCACATTGTGCTGTTCTGAATGAAGATCTGGCTCTGAAATTATTTACCCCTCCCTCTCTAACTGGCAAATTCAACAAAGCCGTCCCAGTAGTCAAAATCAATCAAGTGACTGATTTTAATATAGGTTTTCCCGGCCAATTTCGTGAAATGTTCATTCACTTCTGAAAATCGATCTTTCGTTTTCGTGTGAATTTGGATGCACGTCTTGAATCCCATTTCAATTCAACGAAAGTTCAATCGTTTTCATTGTCCGTGCATTCGGTTTTGAGAAACAGACTGCCAATTACGTTACCTGTGCATTCATTTACGCAAGCGTACCTTTTCTAAATTGATTTCAGGTACCGCTAATTTGAATGACGGTCAATGAAAAAGAAACCACTAATTGTATCTGGTGCCGATGGCATTAAACTAAAAGTGAAATAGAATGGTGAATGTTTGAAATCGCCCTCTAAAAGCGGAAGTCTTTTAAACGAATCTGAATGGACAAATGAAAGGTGCTGCTCAATCACTTAATTGATTGAACTGAAATGGAACCGAATGCTCTGGTAGCGAAAGTGAAACGCGTATTCAGAGCGATTCTCAATTCAGACAAAAATGAATGACCAATTATCAGAAGTGAATGAACATTTTAGGAAATTGGCTGGGAAAACCTATGGTTGAGTGCTCCCTGCTTAAAAAAGTAGGATTGAGTGGCTGTGACTGTTTTTGTAACTTGATACAGCTTTGCCGTGATTGTAAGGGATTGATAAGCCAGCTGCACTCAGTTACTTGCTTTTGTCGGTTGATTGAATTTGACTAGTCACGGTGCCAACAAGAAATATGTGCAGCGTTCTAGCAAAGTGAAACACAACTAGGCAGAGGTTGAAATGAGGGTTTGCAGGTATTAGGAAAGAGAATACAATTCTCCTTACAATACTGTTTGTTGTACTTCAATGGGATACTCAGTTGACAAGTTATGGCTGTTTAAAGTTTGCACTTATCAACATGTCTAAAAGTAAAAACTGAGAAAACGGCCTTGAAAGTTTCAAGTTTTGTAGTCATGCAAATGAAAGATGCCAGTTGGGTTTCCTTAAAAACACTTTCATTCCACAAGTTTTATACTATTTCTTTAAAATATGTGTAGTAGACAGTTCAAAGGTTGTAAATATCAGTAAATCTGAAAATCAGAAATATATCACCCCCATTTAGTTTTTTGCATTTTTGTCCACTTTGGCCTGTGCCCAGTTCCGTCTCATTTTGCCAAAACGCCTCACATAATGACGTTTAAAGGTATAGTCCATCATTTGTAATTTGTGCATTTTGTTCGTTTGAAGCAACAAACTTGCTCAAAATCTAAAGAAGGGTACTGAACAACTAGCCTGATGAAGTTTCAGCTCAGCTTCAGCTGTGTATTTTGAGAAAAACAACATTCTAGGATCTTGATTTCAAATCAAAAGTTGCTGAATCATGTTTTGAAAGGGACTTGAATTCAGCTTCCGAGACACGTTCTCTCTGAGCCGATTGCAGCGACGCGATGTTGTGCACTGATCCGACGAATTATGGCAACCGCGCGCATGTGCGTTGTGCCAACACTTGCGCGCGCTTCGCCGAATAAAAAAAACGAACTACTATTTTGGAAAGGCTTTCTTTTGTTGATTTCTTCAAAATGACAGCTTGCCAGAAAGTATCATTTCACAGGGAGTTTAGTCCCCTTACTATCTTTCAACCAAGTATGTTTTTCAACAATAATTACTTCACTTACTTTTCGGATAGCTGCAAATGATGGACTGTAGCTTTAACTGTTTGTGACTAGCCTGTGTTTAAGTTATGGAAGGGGAAGTGGATTGAATTTCTGACTGTCTGTGACTGATCAAACAGTTTGAGCACCAGTCAAAGTTATATTGTAACACTTACATCTTCCGAAGAACTTTTGTTATACATGTGAATTTATTCCTCTATCTGCAGAAAAAACACACAAATCCGATGTCAACAACTCCATCTCCAACAACGCCGGTAAGAAAAATACTGCATTTGAATGGCATATACCTTGTGCATAATTGGATTATAACTTTGTGATGAAGGGTTTATGAGGTCACAAGATTTTCAAGGATTTTCCAGCATTTAAAGGTTGGAATCTTGATCTGTAGTGATTCAAGGACCAATGTTTTTACAATTCAACTGATTCAATTAGAAAATTGAGAAAACTTAGAAAATGTAGAAAATGGAACCCTTTTTTGTTTTTAACCCACCTGGCAAATAAGTTTCTGATGGATAGTCAATAATACCTCCCCTCGATATTAGAATTTACTAGACTAGTTCCCTCGGCTTCGCCTCGGGGAGCTAATATCGACTATCAACCCTCAAACCATGTTTTATTTGTATATTGCCTTTCATGAGAGCAATGCGTGTGGGACACTGCATTCGAGTACCTCCTACTTGTCTTTGTGCACGTAACTGACAGTTCATTTGAAATATATACAACAAAAAAACCTCTGTGAAACTAGTTTAGAAACACCAATCGAATTGTCTAATTTCACATCTATTCAGGATGGGGTTACACATGCCTATGGCCCTGATCCATACTCAGAGGCAGCCATGTACTTCAAGGACATTCTGACTGGGTTTATGAGTCTGCTTGTCCTGCTGACCACAGCCAACAACCCCGATGGTAAGTGGGAATTAAAGTATTTCAGTTATCACCCTAAACCCCATGGGTTTTGGTTTGTCATTCTGCTAGAACCCCCGCCCCTCGCAGGCAACATACTAAAAAGTCTTGTCTGTTTTATTTACACTTTTAATTACTCCAACATTTGTTGAACAAAATATTTCATATTTACACAAGCTCCTCATTAAAGCATAGACAAATAAAGCGCTGAGAGTCCCTTTAACTAGAGTTGAGCTTTTGACCCTGAAAATCGTGCAACGTTTTATAAATCTAAGCATCTTGGACGAGGATAATAACAGCATTTAGGACGGCTGTTTTGGTATGATTTTGTTCGTTCACGAAACCGCCCGCCATTTTGTAAATATTTTTGTCAGACTTTCTTCGGAATTGTGCGGCAACTCTAAAATCTCGTTCACAAGTAGAATAGCAATTCTTTGACTTCAAACACAAAGCTGTGAGTGTCTTGTATCAACCTGGATAAGTTGCACAATAACAGGCTCCACGACAATCACGATTAGCTTGTAAAATAGGTCATTTTCAGTCGCTGCACCACATCTTACTCCACCTAAAGTTATTGTGCAAGTTACGTCATATTTGTTTTGCAAGTGGCGGACTTACGCACTATGAAACTTTCGTGAAATTGTCACAACTGAAATGTTGCGAAGTGTGAAATGTTTGGCAGCTTGTGTAATAAATTGTGGCGCTAGTGGACTTATGCCATTGCATAAAGTTTTGTGAAACTAGCTGTAGCAAATAACCTTTTGTCACATCAGTATGTACCAATTTACCCATATATGATCGGTTTCAATTTTTAGGAACGTCGAAAGTGTAACTCAGCGTGGTTTTTTTTCCCTATTTTTTTTTCCAGTGACGATGCCAGCGTACATGTTCAACAGGTTTTACTGCTTGTACTTCATTCTCTTCCTAGTCATTGGTAAGTTGATATTTGGAATTCCGTGGCCAAATAGTCTGGTGCATCAGATTGAACGTTTTTGTTGACAGTGGGATTGGATCTAGGCAGGCCCTCGTCAGGGGGGGCCTGGTGGGGCCCGGCCCCCCTTGTCGAGCAATTCCCCTCCCCCCAACGGCAAAAGCCATATATGTGTATTTTTTTTTAATTTTTAAGGTAGTGGGCCCCCCTAGTTGGTACTTCGGTGATCCATGGAGCATTCTATTTTCCCTCGGCTTCGCCTCGGGAAAAATACAATGCTTCATGGATCACCTCGCGGGGGCTAGTTTTACTACACCACCTTGAAGCAGTCAATATTTGTATACTATCATCCCTTGAACCATTTTATATTTGTATATTGCTTTCTCCTTTCAGGACTGTACTTTTTCTTCAACATGCTAACGGCTGTGATCTACAATGAATTCCGAGGCTATCTCCTGGTATGTTGTTAGCAAGAAATTCACTAATTTGGATTTTTTGGCAAATTGGAATTTTTGGATTGTGCTGTTAATTACATTCGTAAAATTCTTTTCATAAATATCTAAGACAGTTTACCCATTCCTATTGGTGGAGAGCCCGTCACATGGCTAGTTTTAAGCGGTTGATAAAGACGGACTGGCTAGTCTTAAAAGCTTCTCCAGTGTCACATGAAATTTGGACTCCTATGAAATACTACACAATACTACCAATGAGTCAGTATTTCAGAGTCCTCAATTCAAAATAAACCAACACAGCTGCGTTCTGCGCCACATCGCACAGTATATAATTAATCTCGGTCACTATCTTTTTGACGCACCCTGTAGAAGTGAAGCCCCTGTAGAAGGACAAGCATCAATAAAATGTGTGTAATTTCTTTTTTTTTAAATGACAATGGAATGATATTGAGGGATTTTTTCCTCTTCCTTGCTGTCCGTAGCGTTCCATGCAGAGCAGTCTGATGCGTCGCCGGCTAGGCTTCCAGGCCGCCTTTGAGATGCTGAGGAGGCAGGGCCGACTGACCCTGAACACGGCGGGAGTCAGTATGGTCACCTCGCTGAGCGTCAGCGTGGTCAAGGCAGTCATACTACAGACCAATATCAAGAAGAGTGCCAAGAAAGCTATTGTCACTGTGAGTCAACAATACCCCCCCCCAACTCCCCCCACTTCCCCCACTCGCCCCCCCATTCCCTCCCCATTCCTCCCTCCCCCTCTAAAACAAAAGATATGTTATTAAGACCAGTTCATACTCCATTTGACTGCAAATGCGAAGCAACTTTGTCATTAAACAATTGCTGTGAAAATCGCCGGAGTTGAAATGTGTTCACTAATTTTCATAAATTTGTATTCGCTTTCGCACTGAGTATGAACTGGCATTTGGGAGGGCCATCATAGTTAGACCCCCCGCCCCCCAAAAATAGCTGACAACTTAACAAGAAGCTTTAACTTTGTGATTCTAATTAGTGGTGGCAGTAGTGGTGTGCATTTGTGGGTAGTAAGAGAACCAGGTACCCTGTTGTGATAAAACACGGGAACCCGGGTACCCATAAAAGAAACCCAACCCCAAAATTCAAACCCATAAGTGAGAGAAATGTTTTCAACAACTGGTTATCGTATTTTTTCCAAACCTAGAAACGGTTATCTGATTTCACGAGAAGTTCCCATCCAGCTCACAGTCATGCCTAAAAAATGCGATTCGGTGTAGTTTGCAGGATTTAGTGACCACTGGGTCTTTACACAAACACTTCAGAGCTGTAATGTTGGAAAAATGGATGAGAACTCTCTTGATACGTCAAATGAGCAGGCTATTCATAAACAGAAGACCACTAGCAAGTGACTGCAGTTACAATCAGAGACCATGGAGCAAATTGGGGGATGTTCCAGTTGTTTTCTTTTGCCTGTGTCACAAAAAAATGGAAGGCTTAATTTTATTTAAGGATGGGTTCGAATATCCAGTTTCCAAAATTGAAAACGAATAGTGAAATTCAAATCAAAATTAAAAAAAAATCTTATTTAAATCCCACCACTTTTCTAAATCCTGACTGAAATGTTGGTCTTAAGAGACTGATAACCCAAATTATGTTTCATGTGATCAAATTTGAAAGGTCTGTCATATGCTATTAAAATCACTATCTTTTGCTCAAGGAATTGGATGAAAACATGGGAGGGTCGCTGACATCCTCCGACTTCCAGCAGCTGTTTGATGTCCTTGATAGAGACACCAGTCGACGCAGGGTAAGTCCAATGAACCAATCAAAGCCACAAATGAACAGTGTGGAGTCTTTGTCCAAGTCCCAAGTTGGGTCCATTTCTAAGTTCATATTGGACCCATGCATGAACAGCAGAGGGCGCTTTGTCACAACACATGTCAGCCCCAGTGGCCGGACACGCAGTACCAATAGTGATAATACAAAGCATTTGTAAGGCGAAGCGTATCTTATAATAAATAAGGCCGTGACAGGTACGCGTAGCCTGACCGCTGATTACGGGTACCCGATTCCAAATATCAATTGTATTACCCAAAACTGTCTTTGTAAATTACGACATAACATTTCAGAAAAGCAAGCGCCCTCTTCTATTGATTACTTGCCGATAACTTGTTAGACAAAAATCTGAGTGAAACATCTTCCGGATGTCTAGATTTGCGGATGAATCAACGAAAAGAACCAATCACAATGCACGTACCAAGTGCTACTCGACAGGCAACTTGCGTGGAGCATGCATGCGCTGAATGACAAAGCATCAAAGGACGGCACCATTTGCACGTGCAACTTACCGTAGGCCGGCCTGCGAGGGCTGAGCTAGCTATGCTTGCTCAGTGATGGCGCAGCCAGCCACTATACACAGTTGCTGGCCGTGATTCTTTTAATAAGTAAGGCCTGATTTATGTCCAAACAATGCACATTGGTCTCTTTCCATTCATCACAAATGTTGCTGTATAAATGCTTTGGTCTTTCAACAAAACCATAATTTTGTTTTTCTTGAGGCTTTTTTAACAACCAACCCCCTCATCTCTGTTCCCGTTTCCAGAAGCCACCGATTGTGCCCAAGAACAACCACATCCTCAGAAAGATCCAGTTCTGCATAACGCATCAGTTCTTCAACTACTTTGGGGCCCTGGTAGCCATGTGCAATGTGATTGTCATCTCGGTGAGTCATGGGCCATTTTCCAAATCTTGACTTTACCCTTGGCTTCGTACCACAAGTCGTATCACAATCTTCAGCACTGAGATACCGTTACTGTGCGATGTTTCAAATGAGAAATTTACTTGAAAATTGGGTTTTTTTGACAAATGGAATCCTAGGGAGAGAGATGTGGAGGGAGTGATTCCCTGTTTGCAGGGGACGTATTAAGCCGTGAACCCTAAACCCTAAATGGCTACCCGCAAGTACCTGCTTCAACTCGCGCCAGGACGAGTACTCGAGTAGATGAAAACCACGAGTACAACGAGTAGCATAAACTACTCACGAGTACTCGCGTAATCGAGTTACTCACCTAGTGGTATCTGACACCATGGTGTTTCAAGCCGACTTCTACTGCAGTAAAAAAAAGTTGAATGAATAAGTTCTATTCTAAATCATTATAGTATAAACCAACTGATACGTTTTAATCAAAGTTAGAGGCCACTTGATGATTATAACTTTTATTATGCACATTGTTAAATTGTCCAAAATGTACATCCTGTGGAACCTCTCTGCTGCAAATATGGCCTCTGTATAATGAAGTCTTTGTTGCGCACCGCATTGTGAATCTCTCTCACAATGGGCTCCGTGCGCCGACGAAAGAGGGCGCCCTTTTACCTAGCAACGACGTCCCATGGGCAGGACATTTCGCTGGTTGACGCGCATCATTCCTTGTGTGTGACGCACGTACACCAGGGGATTTGTACTATGTACACGCATTGGCCGTGCTTCGCGGCAAACGAATTGCAGTCAGGCAAGATGGCATCGGTCGGTCACCCCCAGCTGTACCTTCTTTGCCGGTGAGGGGGTACTTGTGAACGGAGCGGATAGTGTACAAGTACCAGCATTCGTAAATGAGTATTAAGTATATTTGCATGTATATAGCGCACGTATCCAGGTGCTCAAGCCAGGTGCTCCATCATTATTACCCTGCTCATTGGGCCAATGAAACATTCCAAATGCCATCTCAGCTCCCTGGGGAGTATACAGCTCGATGCTGCCATTTCGGTGCAAAGCAGCTAAAATCAACCACAATACCCATCTCTTCCCTCACAGGTACCCATTTACTCCTGGGTAGGGAGAAGCAATGAGTGACAAAGTGCCTTGCCCAAGGGCACACGCACCACAACCCCAGGCTGGACTCGAACCCACAACCTCCAGAATTACCCACAGACCACAAATTCAATGTTCCAGACCGCGAGGCCATGACACTCCACTTCTACATGATGTTTTTTATAATTTCAAGTTTTCTCTCTTACAGTTGGAAGTTCAGTATCAATATGATTCCAGCTTTTATGCAAGGGACAACGTCCTGGCTCATGTCAACTTCAGCTTCATCTTGTTCTACCTTGTTGAGCAGGTGAGATATTTGCTAATTTCCCCTTCAAGGTAACATACAACTTTTGCAAACATTCAAAAACAAAACTACTAAATTATTACAAAATACCTTAACCCTAATGATCCCCAACCAGCCGAACTCCAACACCAGGGTTTGCTTCCTAGAATTTTTTTTTTTTGGGGGGGGGGGGAGGGGATATAAACAGCATTCACAGAGCTAAAACTTCATCAAGTTTAATAGTTGTTAAAGGGAATGTACATCATTGGTTTTTGCTGTAATTCTCAGAAATGAACTATTTGAGGGGTTACTATGATAGATCAAATATTGTTCCACTGATATGTTTGAAGTTTTGTGTTCGAAAATGCTGGAAAACCAAGAAAAACACAAATGGTGGAGTAGACTGGTTCCCTGACTCCACTTAAGATAAAATGGATCAATTTATAGATGCCGGAAATTTGTAAGGTATGGGAACCAGTCTAGCTGGCCTGCACCCGTTCATGAACATGTAACCAATAGCAAACAAAATTTGGACTGAAAAAAAATGGTGAAGTTATGGCAGTAGTTGAAAAATAGTTAGGTTTTTCCAACGGTGGTCGGCCGACCACTGTTGGAAATTTATACAAAAATACAATTTTCTTGAAAATGACTTCACACCAGGTGCCATAATTTTACAGGATGCTTTAGACTGTCATTTACCAACATCCTAGTAAGATATTTCATAAAATCTTGGTAATATTATTTTTCGATGTTTGCAAATGTTGTATATTCCCTTTAAGCACCCGTCTTTAGATTTTGAGCACGTTGGTTGCTTGAAACAAAAAAATTGTAAAACTTGTAACTCTACCCTAACTTTAAGTTTGATATGTCATCCGTCTGCAGATTCTGAAGGTCTGGGCTTATGGATGCCGGCGATACTTAGCCTCCAAACTCAACATATTCGATGGCCTGCTGACCATCATTCTTCTTGTAAGCACTCCCCTTGTTTTAACATTACAAAGAAGACTTTTTTATGCTAATGTGAATTTTTTATATTCAGGAGGAAATTTAAGTGGTTTTAATACTGAGATTGCTTTCCTTTGTCTGTCAGTTTGTGGAAATTCTGTACGCAATCGTCAACGGAGATTTGTTCAACCCGCAAGGGTAAGAGAATTGTTGTTTTCTTTTTTATTTTGCATAGAAAGAACAGTGTTGATCAGCATTCATTGCTATTGCGATTTCAAACTGAACGTTTTTTTCCTTAAGTTCAGGAATGCGAAACAGAGTATTTCCCACTTTATTCAGTCTGCATACACTGTTCTATATTGGTATGTAACATTAAAGCTTAAAACCTTGGACAGCTAAATAAAACAATGTACTGAATCTGAATCGAGTAAGTTTGTCATTATACCCAACATTAGTATACTTAAAGCCAGAGTCCATCATTTGCAGCTATCCAAAAAGTAACTGGCATAATGATTGTTGAAAAACATACTTGGTTGAAAGATAGTAAGGGGACTAAACTCCCGGTGAAATTATTATTTCTGGCAAGCTGTCATTTTGAAGAAATCAACGAAAGAAGGCCTTTTCAACGGTGCTTCTTAAGAAGCACCGTAGGAAATTCAAATTAGTAGTTAATTTTGTTATTCGGCGAAGCGCCCGCAAGCATTGGCACGACGCACACGCACGCGCAGTTGCTATAATTCGTCGGATCAGTGCGCGACATCGCGTAGCTGCAATCGGCTCAGTGAGAACGTGTCTCGGACGCTGAATTCAGGCCCCATTCAAAACATGATTCAGCAACTTTTGATCTAAAATCGAGATCATAGAATGTTGTTTTTCTCGAAATATACAGCTGAAGCTGAGCTGAAACTTCATCAGGTTAGTTGTTCAGCACCCTTCTTTAGATCTTGAGCACTTTTGTTGCTTCAAACGAACAAAATGCACAAATTACAAATGATGGACTATACCTTTAAATCCAAATATGCAACGTCGGGCTCAGTTTTGCATTACGTCAAATTCATTTGTTACAATTTCAGTTTTCCCTATTACCCTGGTACTTTGTAATTTGCCATTCAAGTATCATTAAGAATGACTTTGAATGATTTTTTGTATATGTTGGGTAAGTAGTTTGCTCTTCATAATTACTCTTGGAGGATGACTTCATTAATCCTCCTATGCAAACATACATGTACGTTCTGTGCCAAGTTGTCCTTGCAGTTTAAATCAATCAAGTGACTGTTTTCAACAGTTAAGAGCTCCCAGCCTACGTCAAGCAGGATTGACTGGCTGTGACTGTTTATGTAACTTGACACAGCTTTGCTTTGACTGTAGGTGATTGATAAGCCAGCTGTGCCTACCACTTGCCTGCTTTTTTCCGTTGACTGAATTTGACTTGTCAAAGTGCTTGTAGAAATATGATCTGACTGTTGGTGACTAGCCTGTGTAAAAAGCATGGCAGGAAAGAGGATTGATTTTTTTGACTGTCTGTGACTATTCAGACAGCAGGAGGGTGAAGGAGTGTATCAGAATTATATAATCATAGATGTCAGATGTAACAGGGACAGGAAATAAGTGGACCCCAAATTTATAGACTGACCCAATTATTATGACCCTGTTTGCTCACAAGTCAAAATAGCAAGTCAATGTCGCAAGTCAAATCGGAAGTGAAATAAACGATTACAAAAGTTAAACAGGATGAACAATAACAAAGGAATGCCCTGTCAAAAAGTTCATTTGAAAAGCTTTTGACTTGACTTAAGACTGGATGAATAAGCCATTTGCGAATTAAATTCGAGTAACACCTGCTACCCTGACTTGCTTGAATGCTTGGCTGATTTTAACTTTGCATTCTCCAGACCAAAGAGACTGTTGCTATATCACGTGATTCGGGGCAAGCCTTACGCTAGCAACCCCCAGCTCTGGAATGGTCTGGCGTGTTCATGCCATTCTCATCCATTGTGAGCAATGTATTGATGCTGAGCGTCTCTTGTGTAACTATGCAAGAGCTTGCCCCAATCATGTGATATAGCAGCTGTGTCTTTGGTCTGGAGAATTCAAAGTTAAAACTTGCCAAGCAGTATGAGTAAGTCAGTGTACCAGATGTTTTTCAAATTTAATTCGCAAAGGGTCTAGGTTATTCGCAGATGGCTTATTGTAAATGACGTGTGATTGACTTTTGATGACTTGTTTGCAACACCAGTGTTGGAGCAAAGGCTTTGACCCTCAAGGCCAAGGCCAAGGCCAAGGCTTTGACCCTCAAGGCCAAGGCCAAGGCCAAGGCTTTGACCCTCAAGCCTCGAGGCCAAGGCCAAGGCTTAACCCTCAAGGCCAAGGCCAAGGCCAAGGCCCTGTTTTATGAAATAAACACTGATATAGAACTAATTATAGTCACATGAGTGACACATCATCACGCAAGGGCGGATCCAGAACACAATTTGGGGGGGGGGGGCAAAGAAATTTTGGTCCCCCCCCAAAAAGTGGGTCCAAAAATTACGGCTTGGGCTTCGGGGCCCGCTTAAGGGCCTCGAAAAAAATTTGGATTCGAGATGCTCTGTGGTGCGATTTGAGGCAATTTCTGACCATTTTAACCAATGTTTTTTGAGGAAAAGATGGTGGTGTACTCATTGCCTGCCTTTATTACGACGTCACATAAAAAAAATGGTTTCGTTTTTTTTTGGGGGGGGGGGGGGCATGGCCCCTTTTGGCCCCCCTGGACCGCCCTTATCATCACGAATTGCTCATTACGAAGAACAACATTTCTTTAATTGCAATCAACATGCTCGCATAGGCCTACACCGTTTTATGACTGCACTGTACCTATTAAAGTATAAGTTCAGGTCTTCAATATGGTTTAACTAAACAAAATAATGATTTACTTCTATATTGACACACAATTCTCCCAAGTGTAACAAAAGGGGGATCCAAGAAACTGATTTGGGAAATTTTTATTTGCTGGCCCAACATGGTCAGAAATATCAGCATTATCTAAAACAGATACATGCAAATCTTTAGCACTTATCATGGAGACATATACAACCAATCAGATCTATTCCATAGTTATATACAATTAAAGTGATCATCTCATTAGCCCCACAAGTGTACGGAATATTTTTGCAGCAAATCTACTACAATGGTAACAAAATGTGATGCTACAAAAGTGGAAGTGTGCCCAACACACAAATCTATAGGGTGCTTCCCTCCTCCATGGTAATACGATTAAAATGGTAACAGCAAAATTTCGAACAGATTTATCTGGAAAATGCAAAAATCTATGGGCCTTGAAGAGCCTTGACTCAAAATTGCAAGGCCCTGAACCCTCAAGGCCAAGGCCAAGGCCAAGGCTTTTGCCCTCGAGCCTCGAGGCCAAGGCCAAGGCCCTAAAATCCAGCCTTAAGGCAGCCTTAAGGCCAAGGCCCAGCATCAAGGCACTACATCACTGTGCAACACTGTGGCTTAAAAAAATTTGAGATGTTCTGGGTTTGATTTTAGGAACAAGAGCGCCCTCGCTGAGGAGATCCCGCTGTACGACCTGGTGCGCATCATCAACATTCTCATCATCTTCCGTCTGTTCAGGCTTATCACGCACTTTAAGGTACGGGGTGAACAACAAAATGGAAAATACTGTACGCTAAAGTACGTTGTCCCATAAATACCTGCAAAATACCTGCAATTTTTTGTGTGAGGCTCTGGTGTCAGCGCAGAAACACGTGCTACCATTATTTTTTATACCTTTTTAAAGCTTGGTATCTGAACTTTATCCCTGGCGAGTATTGGTTTGATACTTAAAAGAGTTTTAAAATTATTGGTGTTCAAATAAAGGCATGTTGGAAAGAATCTCAACCGATTTCAAGGAAAATTGATGATGCGGTACATCAGATGCAAACTCGAGTCAAACTTTGAATAGGTACATCTTTGCACATGAATTTCAAAATTGAACTCGAAACGAAGAACAATATTGTGAATTCATTGAAGGTGTAGTCTACGTGGATTGAAAAGAATAGGAAACACAGAAAGTAAAAGGCAACGAGATCGTCACATCATGAACATGATGAACCATTTCCACATTAGAAAATATGTGCATGATTGATTTTCCTTGAAATCGGTCGAGTTTGTTTTTGACATGCTTTTATTTGAACATGAATCATTTCAAAACCTTTTTGAAAATCAAACTAATACGTACCATGAATAAAGTTAAGATTCCAAGCTTTAAAATGATATAAAAATAATGGCGGTACGTGTTTCCACGGCGACGCTAGAGCCTCGCAAAAAAAAACGTTGCGGGTATTTTGGACGTGCTGCACAGTGTGCTGAACTGGGTCATTGGTGTGATAGTGGTGATCTGAACTTGATATAATCATAGTGTCCTGTGATTTTGACAGTTACAAAATTTGATAATGATATGTTAATAACGATTGCTGAACACAGTATAACAAGAAATTTTGTTTCTTAATCGGCATAATGTGCTCTTATTTTACAGACAATGTCGGTCATTGCTGCAACGTTGTTTGGCCTAATACGAAACCTACGGGCATTGATTGGTATCCTAGTGGTAAGTTTTTGTTGAATTTTCTTTCTATCAATCCAGCGCACCTTGCCAGAGCGTCATAAACGTGAAATATGTTTTGTTTTCCCATGTAGCCTGGTTTTCATTTTGAAAATTTCCCACAAATGACATTCACAACCTTTCTTTTTCATTGTCTGAGAAGTTACTAAGTAATTTGTAAACTTGGTTACGGGTACTCGATCCCATAATCTGGAACCGGTTCCTGACATCAGTGGTCGGGTAATCGGGTGCCCGGCACCGATGCACAGCCCTATTTTGAAGGCTCCTACTCAAAAGAGCATTTTTAAGGGTTTTGGCTTTGTGGGCATGTGTGGTCTAGCGGTAGAGCACAGGATTCATGATCGTGAGGTTGTGGGTTCGAGCCCCGCCGTGGCCATGCGTGTCGTGCCCTTGAGTAAGGCGCTTTACCTCAATTACTCCTCTCAACCCAGGTGTTAAATGGGTACCGGCATTATTCAATGCTGGGAAGGTAACAGACTCGCTGTGGAGGAGGTGTGGCGATCCCCCCACAGTAGCATATGAGTCTGGCCCAATCGCTAAAGAAAGAGAGATGGGCACTCCGTTCCTGTGAACACAGGTTCGTCCCCCCCCCCCCTTGAGTAAATGCTACAGTGTGTATGCAAAATGGGATTTTTTCACCGCTTCTTACACATTTCTTCGTTGCAGGTCATCTATTATGTCTTTGCTGTGTTAGGCATGGAACTGTTCAGAGGGACAATACGCATAGAGTCCACTAACAGTGTTAACAGGTGGGTGTCCAATTTCATTTCAGTTGATTAAAAATTCCCACTTTTTTTTCATTGTAGCTGATCTTATTGCCGCGTATATTCCCTTCAAAAGCAATTTCTATTCTACAGGGAAACCCGAACGGCGCCCCTATTCTTTAAAGAATTTCTGCATGTAGCGTGTTTAAGGTCTAGGATATTAAAGCCCAATTCATAAATACCTCAGACAGTTTAGCTATTCCTATTGGTCGAGAGCCCGTCATGTGGCCGGTCTTAAACGGATGATAAAGACATGGCTAGCTGGTCTTAAACACTTTTCCAGTGTCACAATAAAATGTGGACTCCTAAAAATCCAGTGCCTCTTACCGTTTCATTGGTTGAACGTTCACAATCTTCACGTAGGCATGCGCAACACTACCAGTGAGTCATAATTTTATAGTTCAAAATTCCAAACGCAATGCCCCAGGTGCGTTCTGCACGACATCGCGCAGAACATGCCATGCGCGCGTCAATCACTCCATTATTTTGCCAGAGGGATGTTTCAAAAAGCATGAAGTGAACTTGTTGAACAAAATCGGGATTTTTTGAACGAATTATTTGATATTTTTTAACCGAAAAGGTATTTATGAATGGGAATAAATATGTGCTCGGTCGGTATTTATCACTCCGTTTAAGACCGCTTAGAGTCTGGGTGCTGATAATTACCCTCGCCTCCGGCTCGGGTAATTATCAGCACCCAGACTCTAAGCGGTCTTAAACGGAGTGATAAAAACCTCTGGAGCACACATTTATTCCCTTATTAATAAGCTTTCTTTTAGTTAAAGAATCATTCAAATCACTCACGTACTATTGCAGTTATGGAATTTCAAACACAAACACAGTTTTCTAACCTTGTCCACAGATCACAATAAAGGTAATTGATATTTCAGTGAAACAAAAACTACTCACATATCGAAACACACGTCAGAACACTCTCCTAACCATGATAACTGGCACTTATCATAACATTTATTTAAAAACCTGCTGCTTCCAATGTTAAATAACATGCTTTATAATGTCAAGAGTTTATAGTCTTGCCCTGCTTTCTACTTGGCTACCCCGGAGACTTATGCGATTATTCTGACATCATTTTCAGGATAGGACATGGTTTCATTTTTACTGAAATATCACGTACCTTAATTAATTAATGTAATCCGTGGACAAGGTGAAAAATGGTGTTTGTGTTCAATATTCCATAACTGGAAAAGTACATGAGCGATTTGAATGACTTTCACTAAAAGAAAGCTTGAAAAAAAGTAAAACTGCTGCAAACTGCTTACTGACTGGATGGACCTGAAATATATAAATCTTAAAATTAATGTGGCCTGACGTTGCGAACTTAGCAAGTTCTTCTTCAGAGGCTAAAAGAAAGCTTGTTAGTTGGGCTTCCATATCCTAGATCTGGAAAGCGCTACATGCAGAACTTTAAAAAAAATAGGGGGTACCATTTGGGTTTCTTCTTTTTTTTTACTCGCTACAGAAATTCTCTGAGAGAACATTTAAAGTGGTTTAGATGTTGAGAAGGGAATTCAATATTTTTTTTTTAAACGTCAATTTCAGAAAAATATCAATGTACTATTTGAATTTATTTTATACCTTAGACACGTTTCAAAGCAGTAGTGTTTTAAACAGTAGAATGGGAACTCAATATAGAGTGTTGGTTCACGGGCTGAATCACGCGCTAATGAATTTTACACACTTTTTGTGCGCGTGATGTATTCACTTCGGTACTCTATAAAATGCAATCAAAAAGAGGAAGGTAAAGGTAGAGTAGATCATTTGCAGCTATCCAAAAAGTTACCGACAAAATTATTGTTGAAAACTTATTAGGTTTAAAGATAGTAATGGCACTAAACTCCCTGTGAAATTATTTTTTCTGGCATGTGGTCATTTTGAAGAAAACAATAAAATAAGGTAATTTCCAAAGATGCGTCTAAAGACGTTTTTTTATTTGGAAATTTCCATTAGTAGTTCGTTTGTATTCGGCTAAGCCGTGAATGGGTGCGAGCAAGCGTTGACACGACGCAGGGGCGTGCTGTTGCTATAATTCGTCGGTTCAGTGCGTGACATCACATAACTGCACTCGGCTGAAAGAGATCACGTCCCAGACGCTGATTTCGGATGCAATTCAAAAACATGACTCGGCAACTTTTGAAATGAATTTGAGATCCTAGAATATTGTTTTCTTGGAATATACAGCATTCACTGAGCTGAAACTTCATCAGGTTAGTTGTTAAGCACCTTTCTTTAGGATTTGAACACTTTTGTTACTTCAAACGAAAAAAATGCACAAATGACAAATGATGTACTCAACCTTTAAACCAAATGCTGTGCAATAAGAACTTTTTGCTGGTTTTCTGAGAAAGATGAAATCGTTTTTCTATTTTTCTTTCCTTGTAATTGTTTTCCCAACTCATTTATCAATTTTCACACCACAGAACCAAAGCAGAGTGTGGTAGCTACAGCCAACTGGAGTACTGGGCCAACAACTTTGACGACTTTGCAGTGAGTTTTTTTTTTTTTTTTTAATGACTCGCAGCTTTTTTAGAGTTGCTGCAAACCAAAATGCATTAGGAGTAACTCAAATTAACAGAAATAGAATTTGGTTTCTGGCAGGGTTGTTTGATTTAAAATCACTTGATTTAAAATCATTGATTTAAAATCATTGATTTTAAATCCTGCAAAATCCTGCGGCAACTTTTGAATTGGTACGGAGGATTTCAAGCATAATCCAGGCCTATATTTATGCATGGCTGAGCAAAAACAACACAAGGTCCAGCCCAAGACCTTGACAAAGTGCATCCTATGAAATCAGTAACGCGCTTTTGCCATGTAACCTCAATCCTTCAAATTTCTCCACTTTGGCAAAGAGGATTTTGAAGGATTCAGGGCGGTTAGGGTTAATTTATGGAAAACTTTGATGTTGTTTTTCAGTTATGCAGATTTGCCTTTGTGGTGACAGAGACAATCACATTTTCCTTTTATCAATTTGTTTCCCCCAGGCAGCTTTAGTGGTTCTCTTTGATGTGATGGTCGTTAATAACTGGCATGTGTTTCTGAAAGCGTATGCTGATGCGACAAGCAAGTAAGTCTCCCGTATCAGAAACCAGAGTTTCTTCAATTCAATCATAAATATGTTTTGTCAAAACCTGATGCTTTGGGGTAGAACTAACAATAAACAGTGTTGGGTGATTTTTCAAGATTTTTTGGGGGGAAGTAATCGAACGCATGGTAATTAGTCAATTCAACTTGAGGTTAATTTATTAATGCATGGATTTTTTTTTCTTTTCTTCTAGGTGGTCCTATTTGTTTTTCATAGCCTGGTACTTTGTGTCTGTTCTGGTCTGCTTAAACGTGTTCACTGCCCTTATCCTGGAGGTGAGTTCCCAGGCTATCTTTGAAACAATATTCTCACGGAAGTCAAATTCATGTTTTTGGTTTTATAACCCTATAAAAAAGGGCCAATGTTTTTGCCCCCTTCTGTTCTCGCAAAAGTAATAATCAAAATTTGGTAGGCTAGAAGAGAATCCCATGAAATTATGCAAAGTTTTCAATCAAGTGGACAAAGTATTTTGTAGTTATCACTTGTATTCTAAACCTCCATCCATGAATGAACACGGTCAATGAAAAAAACAACCAAAATATTTTACCCTGTGTTGATTATGTAACATTTTGCACAAGCACTATGCCTGAGTTCTTGAATCGGTGTCAAAATGCCTGCAAGGTATAAGTGTACAAACTCATAAAGGCTTTGGACAAAGCAACATTTTCAGGTGATGATATCAGAAAAACATGCCGGGGTTGGATTCCCACCAGGTAAATTCAGTAGAATGTAGAAAAAACGTTGGAATGATTTTATTTGTTTTTTAAAGGTAGAGTACATCATTCGCATTTGTGATTTTTTTTTCGTTTGAAGCAACAAAAGTATTCAAAATCTAAAGAAGGGTTTTTATTCAACTAACCTGATGAAGTTTTAGCTCGGTGAATGCTGTATGTTCCGAGAAAACAATATTCTAGGATCTCGATTCCAATTCTAAATTTGCCGAGTCATGTTTTGAATGTTCTCATTCAGCCTATTACAGCTACGCGATGTCAAGCGCTGAACCGACGAATTATAGCAACTGCACGCATGTGTGCGTTGTGTCAACGCTTGCGTGCACCCATTTATGGCATCGCCGAAAAAATGTGTCTTTAGACGCATCTTTGGAAATGACCTTCTTTTACTGTTTTCTTCAAAATGACAGCATGCCAGAAAGAATAATTTCACAGGGAGTTTAGTGTAATTACTATCTTTCAACCAAGTAAGCTTTTCAACAATAATTTTGTCAGTTACTTTTTGGATAGCTGCAAATGATATACTCTACCGTTAATATTCTTTAAATAAAATGCTTCCTTTCCCGCCAGAATTTCATCACCAAGTGGGATCGAGAGCAACAGCTGGAGGCTTCAGAGGATCCCAACAACCAGCCCAGCTACCAGATGTCAGTTCACACCATGTTCAGGTGAGAATTGAAACAGGATTCCGGCAGTGATGGAAGTGCCCGGACTATACATACACAGTTCACATGTCACAATGGAAAACTGGGAAAATCATGGAGTTTTCTTCCAGCGTCAGTTCGTGCCTGGGCTTTCTTTGCCAAGGTTGTTGTTGAACAATCTTAACATTTATTCCTTATCTGTGTACATCAGATTAACTTCTTAAAATGATATTTTGGACTATTAAAGGATCCGTGCGATGAACTTTTCTTAGAAACACATTTTGTGCAACTGTCTACTCCTCTTAACTATATAAAAACTATTTGACTTCCCTTTCTGTTAATTTTCATGAAAAGTGCACTTCTTTAAACATTAAAACATTTTTCATGCTTTTCCGGACAACTTTGGGCGCTGTTGCTGTGATGTCATTTCAGGAAGACACTGTTCAGTTTAGGGGTTTGGTAAAAATGTAACATACAAGTAGAAAATTTGCCTGGAGAAAAAAAATGAATTCATTGAACAGCACACCAGTACATTTTGAAATAATAAGTAGAAAATAAATAAGTAGAAAAAATAAGTAGAAAAAATTATGAGATTAGAAAATGTTTATCTAAAATTTTAATTTCCACAATTAAAACACAAAACCCAAAAATTCATTCATTATTCATTGTTGTGTGTCCTGTTACAGAGATGCACTCATCGAGCCTACTGAGGACGAACTGATGCTGGCATTACGGAGCCAGCCTCACATGAGACATCTACGCCTCTGATCTTAGGGGTCGTGACCTTCACGCCGAGACCGAACAGCCAATGCATTGTGGGAAACTGTGCATCAGAAGAATCACGGAACGAACGTGCAATTTGTGTAGCAATCTGCAAGCAACACATAGGAATGGGTGACTGCTGCACTGCATCATGGGAGTTTCAGCAATGCATGATGGGGTTTTCAGCAATGCATGATGGGATTCTCAGCAATGCATGATGGGTTTGCGAGGTCAAAGGTCGGCAGCCATACTACAATCAAAAACACCAGGTGGGCCCTTTCCAATTTTTCTGTTTGTCCTTCCTTTAGGAAAGGACCCTACAGAAGTTTCTTCATACTCGATAAAGCATTGACGAAATGCTGATAGGACTGGAAAAAGAAACTGGAACAGCCAAGAAATTTCTGTAGAATCCTTTCTTAATGGCTGTAGTTATAACAAATATGGATGAGGATCCTGATACATCATGGCAAGTCGCAGCAGCAGTGCATTATGGGAAGATGGCGGCTTCTTCTCCTTAGCAACACCATTTACATCAGATGCAGAGAAGAATCTTGTCTTGTTTGAATGACACTCACAAACCAAAGTCTTCAGAACTGAATTTGCTATAAGGAAATTTTTGAATCATCCCTTGTCGGAACGGTGATAAATCAACTATCTGAACAGTTACATGTATTGAATTTTACCCTTTTTTTGCGTCACGGAGCTGTACGTTTGTGTACTTAGTATGTGGGGTAGAGTTTAACTATAAGAACAAAAGAAACACAAAGCCTTGTCCTTGAATGTAATGGTAAAGTACGACTGTTTTGTGTGATTGAAACGCCGATGGAAACAAGCCAACTTTGTAATAACTTGCTACAGATGCCGTTTTGTCAGAATACGCCGTCTATAATGGAACAAATTTGTCTGAAATCGTGTGTGGTGTATTGTATGTTCGCCAAGCATAAGTTGTGTACTTCAGCAAAGAAGACCCAATATAAAATATTACCGTAAAGCTATCTTTCCGTAAGCATCCATGTTACGTATTTGCAACTGTATTCACTATAGGCCTACTACGCAACAGTTGCAACACGGACTGAATTGGACTAATAGACGTAATAATAAAAATACCAGTGCTTATATAGCACAATTCCAAACTAATGATTATTGTGCTTTACAAAAAAAATTATATGAAACATGATTGAAAACGTAAAAGTAAAATGTAACAGTTATAAGATTAACTTTTCAAATGATTAATCTTGCATTTTCTAGTTACAATTTGGATTAATCAAAGAGATAATTTTATTTTTCACGTCAGTCGGTGGATATATATGATGCTCACACGGGACATTTAATGAACCATTAATTTACACACTTGTTCAGAATACTATTCTTGAAAGGATTTGCATCAAGTATACATGCACCATTAGTGTAAATCCGACTTATCGAAAGAGTTTCGTGTGTGGATTTGTTAAGGATATTGGCAAGAGAAACGGTTTAGTGCACGCTCCTCAGCCCCTAAAAGGAGCCTTCATTTTCACAACGTTGTTTTTCAATTAATCAAACCAAAAAATATAACTTAATAACCGTCATTTACATCGACGAATCAAGAAACCAAATATTTTTGCATACATAAAATTATATGTAATTAAGTACATTCTGCAAAGTTGAGCTGCTAAAATCGTGACAACAATTGTGAGATTTTTAAATACATGTACTGCATATTTCTGCAGTTGAACTTGGAAATTGTGGATGCACTGGACCATTTGAATGAGATATTTCGATTGGGAATACGATAATCACTTTAAAGAATAGAGGCTTGTTACTTTTGCAATGTTGTTTATTTATCTAAAAGTTTACGTGGTCTCCTTTTTGAGAAAGAGTATGATGTAAATGTAGATATTCTCTGGCAAAAGAATTAATTTATATATCGATTTTTCAAGGTTTTTGTTTTATAGACGTTGCAAAGTATTTAAATTTTACTTTAACCTTGCTAAAATGTAGCTCTTTGCTTTTGTTGCGACATATTTTATTTTATTTTATTTTTAATTTTTTCCCTTTTTTGGGGGTGGGGTTATGGGGGTGGGGGGTAATGATGAAAGTTAGACTCGGGATCAGTACTTACATTGTACATTTAAAGATAGTGTTATTCACCTATAAAATAATCATATTTATTTGAAATATTAAAATAATACGCAATTGTATAAAAAAACTGTTAAAAATAAACAATTAAACAATTATCATAATTGAATAAATTTAATAAGCAGGATTTACAAATATAAAGTAGACATCGTTATGAAAAATTTTGCGTCATGCGTACAGTGTGCCTGGTATACGTGGACGCGTTCACAAGACCAACTTGCTATCGTTGCGTAATAGGATGAAATCCGTTGGCAGTGGTGCTGTGCTTCGTAAGTTTGCTGGAATTGTGTCTTGTAAGAGTACTTGTGCGGGTAGATATATGCATGAAGAATATCAAGTATGTGCCAATATGTTACCATGCTTAACTTATTATACATGTAAAGATATGCCTTGCTACCAAAAAAAATCTGCCTAAAAGGCCGTTTTGTACTTAACGCAAAAGCAGAAACGAAGTAAATTTCACGACGTCAACAATGGAAGTTCCATTGTGACATTTGCTGTTAACTTAATGAATTCATTTCGCACGGACGTTCGCATGAAGTATGGAATCGGCCTTAATTTTGCTACTTGACTAGTTACAAACGTGCCAATATGCTTCCATTATTAAAACTAAACGCATTATATGTCTTGACACCAAAAACCTGTGTAACGTGGCCATAATACATAGGTCCAGTTGTTTATATGTACTTGAATAACATTATTCCTGCTTGGCAAGAAATTGTCTCAATAAAACACTAAACTATGTGCAAATATTCATTTACACGAATATCATTATTTCAGTGGTTATTTCAGTGATATGCTGTGTGGAAAACTATTTAACTTGTCTTTTTTCTGTTCAAAAGTTGCTGACCAGAATTTTCAAAGTTTTGGATCATTTAGTTTCAGGATCTATTAGGTGTGTGCGAGAAGTTGTTCGTACTATGTGTAAAAAAGGCCTACTTTTGTCCTAAATACATGTAACTTTGTTGTTTGTCAATGGAATTTATCCAAAATTTCAGATCATGTAAACAAGGCATGACAGGTTTTATGGAGCGAGTTTCATCAGCTTTGTGCAAGATGGTGAGATTTAAATGCCATATGAAAAAAATTCCCCGCTTTCAGAATGTTGGTACAGTGCTGAAGACGGTGGCGGAAAGAGCATGCTGTGGCTGAAAGCTTCTGCAGGAATGCAGGATCACCCCTGAACCTTGTGTTGCGCCAAATGATCGAGGAGGTGTGCAATGACATCAGGGGTGATCCTGCATTCCTTCAGAAGCTTACAGCCGCAGCATGCACCTTCTGCCACCGTCTCCAGTGCTGTATCGACACCAGAGGACTCCAAGTCGAAAGTGGCAGATTCTGAAAGTGAGAATTTTTTTCGTATGGAGTTTAAATCTCACCCTCTTGCACAAAACTGATGAAATCCGCTCAACAATATTTGTCATGCCTTGTTTACCTGATCTGAAATTTTGGTTTTAATTCCATTGGTAAACAACAGAGTTATTTGTAATTAGGATCAAAAGTAGGACATGTTTTTTTACACGTAGTAGTGCATTTTTAGTATATTTTTTGACCTTGGTGATATGTATGTGGCCTATTTTCGAGTAGTATAACAGGGGTGTAAGTGGTACAATTGGGGTGTAAGTGGTGCCACCAACGTCAAAATATAGTCCCCCCCCAAAAAAAAAAACCCCAATTTTTAAAAAAAATAAAATTGTGAGCCCCCCCCCCCAACCAAATCCTGGGTGTGCCACTGCCAGGCACTTTTCTGACTACTCCAAAATCCAACACTTTTCAACACTTTAACCCAATTTTTGGAGGAAAAGATGGTGGTGTGTGCAGTGCCTGCCTTTATATTGCGACGTCACTTGGAACCCCCCCCCCCCCTGGATTTGCCCTTGCAACCTACCCCCACCCCAAAAACAAAAATTGAGGAATGCCAATCCCATATCATCTATCATCCAACCCTGTACTCATCACCTGATTCTTGTTCTTGCTGTTCTTCAAAAAAATAAATAACAAGACGGCATCCCCTTTAAAGAACTGAAAAGTTGAGGAAAAAAGGTTTAGAAAAAAAACAGAGTAGAAAAAAGTGTCAGCAAGGGAACGTTTACCAACCGGAGTGTCAAAAGACAGCTCTGGTCCTAAATTAGCCTGGTACAGTCAGGTATGCTTTGTTTCCTGTTGTTTGGTTGTTTGGAAACAGTCGGCAGAGAACAACCTACCCAGAGAGTTGACAGTAGTTGTCACAACCACCAGAGTGCTTGGCCCGATTACCTTGAACTTTGTCACTCCTTTCTGGGTTGAGAAACCAGACATTACGTTCTACGCCTCATGCATATTTATGAACCAAATGCAAACCTGTCATTGGCCGATGTTCCAACGTGTGAGGGAAGTAACAGTACTCCGCATTCACACTTGCGCAAGGAATGTACTAGCGCCGACTGGTCGGTAGTTATAGGGAAGTAATTCCCCAAGATAAGCTCCTAGACTTCCATTGATGCAACAGCTGAGGTCACAATTGATGTTGATGGTGGTACCATACTAAATCCATTACAACAGACAAACAATTATATGGATGTTTTGCAGAAATTTTTTTCATCATTTCGAGAATTAACATGTATGAGGTATAATAAAACAACTTTTTTTTTTTCAGGAAAGAAGTGCAACATTACTGGTCCCTTGGTGTTGGCTGGTTTTGACTGATATCAACTGAACAACATTCTCCATTCGTTTTTTTTTTAAAAGACAAAAATGTGTTCGTAAAAAACCCTGAATCCTTGGTTTCATTTCAGTTGAAGCCTGCAGCATATTTTAATGGACGCTTTCAGCAAATTCAGCTGAGAATTAATTCAATTTTAATTTTGTAACTTGTTTTTTTCTCAAAGTTTTTGAAGTCTCACCATGAAAGGAGAATGGCCGAAATGTTTGTTCAGAATTTCTGAAATGTAAATCACTCTTACTTTTCAAACATTTCAAGTATCTGAAACGAAAATCTATTAAAATCATTTGCTAATGCTTGTTACAGTTTTCAGGACAAAGTCACTGTTCAACAGTGCCACCTTGATTGTGTGGGTTTCGCTGTCAGAATACTGACCGTCCCCTAAAATACTTCAGCACTTTTCCCTTTCTTTCCTTGACTTATTTGTTGATGATGCAACACCCTTTATTTTTATTTACCACTTTCCTTGAAAGATGAAACGATCCTTATTAAAAACAAACAAATTGGTCCTCTATACCTGAAGTTGTCTTGTTGCATCCAATGTAGAAAATTGAGAGTCTGTGATTGGTTGAAGCATTTTTGTATGTTTAGCTAATCACAGGCTCATGATAGATTTGTTTGGTTGCCATGCAGGATGTTTTTGGCTATGCAAACAAACATGACCTCTGATTGGTCCAGTGTATTGTTATAGTGTTGACATCATTTCTTGACATGTACCAATGCTCTCCATGTATTTTAATGAAACCTAACGTTTTTTTCCCATTTTTTTCCTGATTTCTGTTCATTCCCTAGTTTCAATCTGTAGACTCCCAGTTTTCTTCTTTTGTGTCCTTTCCTCACCATTTTTCTTGATGTTGTCTCTGGTCTCCCAACTTTTTGTTTGCCTTCTGGATCCAAGTCGGGATTATTCATGCAATCATAATCATCAGTTCCCTTCCTCAAAACATGGTCTTCCTATTTTTCTCCTGAGTTTATCTTTGAAGCCTAGTTGTTGCTGTTGGTGGTTTGTTATTCGTAACCATCAATGTGATGTTGGGCCATCATAATTTATGTGGATTACTTTCTGGAAATATCAGTATAAGTTGACATGATTATTTATAGCATTTGTCTGTAACTATTATTTATTTTTCCATGTTTTACAGAGTCATTTTGAGTCATTGTGTTTCAATCCACAGGTTTTTCCCCCATTTTATTCGCAACCAGTTTGATGAATGTTGTTACCCTAAGGTATGCAAATTAATCCACATCTTCAACACCATTTACATCTAAATTCACAGCATGTAGTTTCTTATAGTGTTCAAAATCTCAGGTTTCATAGTCTCTTTGTAATGCTCTGTATCTTACTTTAATTGAAAAGTACATGTGCATGCATGTGCATATAAGTACATGTATGTATGGACATGTACAAATGGTGATCATAAAGTGGAAATAGCGCCCTCATTTGATATTTTTGTAGCTGTGATCTCATAGTACAGAAGAAGATGGAATTATGATTTAACATTTGTACACATGCTTCTACCTTTAATACTTTACGTGAAATAACATTATAAATGCAAAAGGACAGCTGTTTAATTTGAAGATTGTGTAAATAAAGATTCAATAGAGTTCTTGATCCAAATTTTGCCTGCAAACAGTGGGTGCGTTCGTTTAGCTCATTGGGTCGACACGGGTAAAGGCAGATGGGTCAGCCACGACACCCAGGCTAATCGAACGCACAACCGCAGGCCATCAGGATCCTCACGTGACGCTCTTAGCCGTGGCCGTAGCCACTGACAAAACACCCGTTTCGGATTGGGTCTTAGGTTGAGATTTACTGCTTTTTAGTCAATAGCAAAACTCAAAAAAGTTGGGCTGATATTATAGCCTCAAAAGTCGCAATGAACTCAAAAAATGATTACCTTTAGACTTCAAATAAAGTCAACTTTTAGGTCCACTTGAGATTTCCGCTGTCCGGCTGCCATATTTGTCTGTTTCTAGGGAATGAACAACGCATGTGTGACATACTTCCACCAGTGACTCTGTTCGGCGAGCAGGGTCCGTGGTGGCTGACTCGGGTGAGTTCTGAGAATGATGTCAGAGCTATTCGAACGGCACGGGGCTGACCCGTGTCGACCCGGGTGAGCTAAACGAACGCACCCATTAAGGACAAAGGGCAATAAGCCAGTTCATATCTCGATAATGTAGTCTTGGCGTCAACGTCTTGTAACTGCTATGTTACGCGAACGCCCAATCTGCTCGTAATTAACGCACGAGCATCGTGCGACTTTCCCCTTGTGCTTTCATGCGCCTTCAATGAGTGTGCGATTATCCTGAATGACCTATGACCCATATCATTGCGCGCATACGCATTTGAAATACCAAACTGGCTTAGTTGTTAGCATATATCTGTTGTCTCTTTGAAGTAGACATTTCTTTCTCAATTTCTTCTCTTTTTTTTCTGACAACTTACTTTTTCTGACAACTTGCTCAGAATTTTTATCATTCAAAGTAGACAAGGCTTGCTTATTACTGGTTCAAAATCTGAATTCTCATTTGTTCTTCATTATTTCCAAAGCCATACTCTTTCTGTTTGTGTGACACTGTACACAGTTGTGCATGATAAACCAGGCATATCTACAAAGTCTCGCCGTTAAAAGGAACCCTTTAAAAGGAACTTTTGTGAGTGCCAAAAATGAAAAATTGTTAGTATTTTGCCTTTTTGTGTGTGTATATGCTCACTGTACCAAACTTAAGCCTTCCTTTGTATCAGAGGAATTTCTAACACCATAAAAAAGGTTTTTCACACTCCAAAAACTTACCAAAATTTGCCAGGTTTGGAAATACAATTCTTCTTTAAAACACACCATTCATCCATTCGGTATCTTTTCTGTTCTTGTTACAACTGAACAATCTTGTCTTTATATCTCTGCATTTTTAAGAGGTCGGGTACACTTTTTGAAGAGAAAGACTGGTGGTGGGCAGGGAATTTCCCCCATTCCTTGGCTAACCTTGGCCCAATTCCATGGGACTGCTTGCTGTAGGCAAAGAATCTTTGCTAACTAAAGCAAAAAT